GGATTTCAGCAGCAAGCACTCAGGCACGCCGCTTTCGCGCCTTCTTAAAGGTAGCGGCTCGGCAGAATGACAGCTTTGGAATACTCATCGTTCTCGCTTACCTGGATGAGCTAAGTCCTAGACTGTGCTTTGCAGCTACAAAAGATATCAGTAACCTGCTTTTCCAGATGCGAAAAGCGCTATTTTTGGGTGGACCGCGTATCTCCCTCTAGAGCGCGATTGGCTCATGGGTACGGTAGGTACAGTATCTCCACCACGAGCCAATCGCGCTTTAGAGGGCAGATACGCGGGTCCGTCCAAAATAGCGCCTTTCACTTCTGGAAAAGCGGGTTATTGACATTTTTTGAAGCTGTAAAGCAGAGTCTAGGACTTAGCTCATCCAGGATAACCGAGAACGATGAATATCCCAAAGTTGTCATTCTGCCGAGCGACTGCCTTCAAAGGCAGTGTCCAGCAAATCTGAATGGGACTTTTACCTCGAAAGTGACTGAAGGCAACGTTCCGGCAAAACTGAATTTAAAGACTGTCTATTTACCTGGGCTTATTCGTCCCTTTGTTTCCAACGCAAATGTCAAAGGCCGGCTTTTCTTGAAGCCCTAGATTTATATCAGGACTTGAGGAGGAGGCGGTTCATCAAGGTTACAACGCAGAGTTGTTGTGGGACCCTGTAAACGTGTTGTTGCATGTTGCCAACTGTTATATATCCATGTGTTGCAAGTCACAGACTAGAATGGGGGCAGCAAGGATGAGGAAGGCGTCTACATTTCGGCCATGGAACTTGAGGTTTTGCAATCAATGGGCCTTTTTTAGCGCAGCTGTTGCCGGCAACACAAAAGCGCTAGGTCTACTGCCTCACAAAGTTGCAGTAGCAACATTCGTGACTCGCTTGCGATTGCGGCGCGCGTGCGGCTACATCATTGTGGAACATACAGTCAGTGTCAATTACGTACTCTCTTTCCCTTAAGAACTACGCATCTGAAATGCGAGTGGAGCCGATTTGAATGCCCAAGCCTACGCGTTCGCATATGGCACAAAGCAGTGGCGTAGAGATTGCGCCGATAGTAAAGAGAGTATTAATTGATACAGACTGTATAATCGATGTTGACCACATGCTTTTTCCGTAATGTCTACGCATCCGCAGCGTTTGAACATTGCGCGGCGATCTGCGATGGATGCGGCAGATTTGAACGCCCGAGCGGTACGCCGCGAACGCGGCACGGGGTTCTAGCGTTGCGTTTGGACTGGTCGGCAAGGGAGCACTTCGTTGACATCGACTGTACAGACATAGAGGACTATACGCAAATGACGCTGGATATTCGTTGTACGCAATATGCGCCCTACGGCGTTTGCGCCCATGGTTCTTGTATCTTCGTCCTGCTGTAGTTATATCTATCGACAAAGCTAGACCATGGTTTAAGTGAAGGGCGAAAGTTGGCGGGTGGTGTACCTGCAGAATGCGCGGCATTCCAGAGAATTTGAATGGTTGCATGCATTTGTGAGTTGAGGAGCGTACCTGTAGGACTTTTCCTTTTGTTTTTCATTTCTGCATGTTATAACTGTTTACAGTGCTTCAACCCGCTTGGCCTACTACTATTTTCTATTCTTAGCGCTACAATGGAAATTCCTTTATTTGAATCCGCTTTAACACAGTAAATTTCATTCATATTCATCTCTTTCATGCGTCACATGCACTGGCAGGACTTCATTTCAATACTGGTCGCATTTCTACATGGAACCTCGCTTAGCACGTTTCCCATAGGGCTGCTATGTGCGCTTGTGGCTCAGCGCGGAGCACATCGATTTTCTTGCTTGCGCACTTCTTGGGCCCGTATGCACTAACATTTTTGCGGCGAGGGGAGCGGCGTCCCCCGTTATGAAGGGACCGCGTGCGGACGCCGCTGCGGCTTTTTCATCATTGGGGACGCCGCTCCCCTCGCCGCAGGGATGTTAGTGCATGCGGCCCTTGGAGTTATGCGGCAGTGCGTTCCTTTTATGGAAATTTCAAAGAGGAAGCATATATAGTAATATTTTGCTCATTTCTGTCAATTTTTCATGTTGGCTTCCATGACCCTGCGTATTTTTTTCGTTTACATTTGAGATGATTTGATTTTTCCCATCCTTTTTCTAGGTATGCAGGAGACATAAGCGGGTGAGTCTCTTCCTCGACCGTGCTATTTTTCCTTCATTTCTTACTTTTTTAGAGTTTATTTTACATCTCATTAATGGAACACTCCGCTGAGTTCCTGTAATGGCGCAAGTTCCCCATACTCTGATTTTTTTCTTCTACCTTTCTTTCTCGGAGTTTACCATCGATTGCGCTGAAGTGTTTTAAAAGTGGCTCCGATTGCTTAATGGACGTCCGATGAGTGAAAAACTTCTCACAGCAAGGATAAGATGCGCGTTCTGTACACGTACTGAAGTGCTCTCAATTTCTTCAGCTCTTCTTTCTGCTGTACTTACTGGAGTGTTGTAGTAACATCTTGGCGTTCCATTCTTTTGATATACTTCGTTTTTCTTTATTTTAGAATTGTAACGCTTCAAATTAATCATAAGTGAGTTCTTTTGACTTTTGAAATTTCGTTGGACTGCCCTTTTCGGTTCTACTTTTGCTCACTTCAGCTTCCCTACGTTTTGCTCACTTCAGCAAACATATTATCTTCTACCCAATATTATTTGAATATAGAGTATATATATATATATCATCGGTTTCACGATTCGTGTAGAGGCGGGGTTTTGCCAACTCAAAGCGTGGCGGTTTGTGATAGCGAGAGAGTACAAAAAACAATGGTATGACGTCGAGGTTTAACAAGTTTACCTGTGTTATCAGGCAAAGTCTGCAATACACCTCTACACGAATCGTGGAGACGATCATATATAGATTATTTTGTATCTCACCTTTCAAAGTGAGTTGAACACAAAACAGAAAAAAAACTGTGCAGTTTTCGTCATTACATGTCATATTAGCGAAATGCGGCCACGACGAAGGGTTATATGTAATCAAAAAATTTTGCGGCGGACGCGTCGCATCGCTGGAGTAGTCGCACTGCTTGCATTAGCGAATAAAGTGTAGGTGCTTGCAAACTCGCAAAAGCGCTCGTAGATGAAGTCGATGTGCTCTCATTTTATTTACAAAGTATTGACTTTTACATAGCTTTTAATTTTGGGAATCAAGTCAAACAACCAAAATTGCAGTTTTTTTTGGCAGGAATATGTGTATCGCGGTGTTTGGCTACCACCGTAAGTCTAATAGTATCATTTGCTCTTGCACTTTTGTGAATTTTCAACCTAATTCTTTTTTGCACGTCACACTGTCAGTGTCAAAATCCTTATCTTTGTTTTCCGTAACTATCTTCGCAAAAGAATTTGTTTATCAGCATCTGCACATGCGGGCCTAATTGCCGTGGTTTTCTGATTTGCTGTTCGGAATGAAAACATTTTTTCTATAAAGTTGACATATCAAGTCGTAAATCATAACAACTGACCATTTTCATGTCTGCCCACTGTAAACTCATTTATCTAATCGCAACGCATGAGTTTTGCGTTGGATGCATTTTAAAAGAGCCAAAAGCGTTCATGCCAAAACTAGTTCTGTCCCCGTTGCCCTGTGAAACTTTGATTTTCTCGTTGAAAGCAGCAAAGTACGGAGTACTTTGTACTTACTGCAAAGTATATTCTTCGTCTCTTAATCCATAACCAAGCAGAAGTTCTTGGCTCCCCCCGAGTTTGTCTTCCTGGCTTTATTCGGATCTTTACTGGAACTTAAATCGTGTTGCTAATTATATCCTAATGGTAGATCACTTCTCGCCTGACTTTGTTACTAGATCAAACCTTATTACATTTTTTGAAATTTTGTTCCCTGATGTTCTGAGATTTCTTTGACTGGTTGGCTAATTTTTTAATGACCATGTTCACTCACATCCGGAAACTCCCTTGATCATTTAATGGCCTTGCTTATATAGAAGCCGTTTTGCAGCTTTTGGATGTGCTTTATGATCTAGCTTGGTACCTTGGCAGGTAATTCGCAGTATTATTCATTTTGTTTTGTTTTTTCTTCTTCGATACCCATTTTGACTGATTGGACTGTCCGTTGAATTGTTTGAAACTTCCTTTTGGTCTGAGTCATCTACTTTGTCGCGTCTTCATGTTTGTGGTATTGTAGTAACGTGCAGAACTTCTGCTGATTATTTTCCATTCTCATAGTCACGTTTGAATATCTGCAGCTTCTTCCACATTTTGATATAATTTTCTTAATGCAGTGATTTTGTTCGCCTGTTTCATGGTTTATTGACTGCTATACCATTCGCAAACGGGAATTGTTGATTTGTGCAATTGGAAAGTATGCTATAATACAAAACAACTGCGACATCTGTGTCTTAGAATCTCGAAAGCTGCCGTAATATTATGACAACTCTGCTTTTATTGAAACGTCATTGTTGCGTTTGTGCACTTACACAATGAGCGTGTCAACACGCGGGAAATGAAAAAATTGAAATGCCTGGCAAAACTCGTATTTCAAACTGCTAAAAAAACACCACCGATAGACACTGGGTCTCCTCGCGAGTCATTGCCCAAGCTGCAGCGTCAATGGGCTTTTTTTTAAAGCAAGAAAATCCTAGAATTTTGAAAGGTGGCGTAGGCCAAGAGGTCGGAATACCCGCAGAGGTCTGTCCCTACCTGGCGTTTTCTCTTTGGTGCGTTTTGAAAAGGCAAGCACGATCGATATGCATACTCTATAGCCCAAGAAGAACTTGAAAAAGTTTTTGCGCCTTTTTGTATTCAAAATAGGGCCATAGAAAGGGCTGGAAACGACTCACTTGGAAGTTGAGTATCTAAATGAACAATTTATCTAATTTTGAATCGTGTGGGGGGGGGGGGGGCTATTTATTTCATGGACATTGTATTTATAGACTTGCCACATTTTCGTTCTGTTATCCAGCGTAATTACCGCAAAGCGCATATTGTCTGCGTCAGTGAATTGACTATGAATTCACGTAACATTGCAGGCAATGTCGCTTCCAGTTTTGGCGGCTAAAGTAGCACGACCCTTTGTAAGAACCATCTACAATGATACGAGGAAAAATCTGATGATCAATAATAATACGAAGGTGCTTATTCAGGTAAGGTTTACATTTGCTTAACTTTTTTTTCGAGCAAGCGGTCAAAGAAAGACGCAAAATTTGTCAATCTTTAGGGTTTTACTGGTAAACAAGCTACGTTCCATGGGCAACAAATGATTGATTACGGAACGAAAGTTGTTGGAGGAGTCTCGCCCAAGAAGGTCTTTCTAGCATTTCCAAAAGGGATTATTATAATCGTGGTATTTCCTTGAAATCTAGTTTAGGCGGGAACGAAACATCTTGGACTGCCTGTATTTAAATCAGTTGCTGAAGCTAAAGCTGCCACTGGCTGCGACGCCACCATCATCTACGTCCCATATCAGGTAGCAGCAGGAGCGATCGAAGAAGCTTTGGATGCTGAGGTAGAACCTTGTTGCTTTTTCTGTTTGTTTGCAATTTGCATGTTATATTTTTTATATTTTTATCTTTCTATGTTCATATCTTCTCAGATTCCCCTGATCGTATGTATTACCGAAGGAATACCACAACAGGATATGGTACGCGTTAAAGCCAGACTTGTGAAACAAGGTAGCATTCAACTTCACGTCAAAATGCAAAGTTCCATCATTCTGTTGCAACATTCAGATAAGTCACGGTTGGTCGGCCCTAATTGCCCAGGAATCATCGCTTCGGATCAATGCAAGATTGGAATTATGCCTGGACAGATACACAAACGAGGTTGCATAGGTTAGTGCTGTTATTCTTGTTTTTGTTTGGTTAAGTTATTATGTTGAGCACTCCACGCTTTCGAGGTATTTTTATTTTCTACTAAATATTTTTCGTATTGAAGTAGCTGTCGTAAAGTAAAGGAACGAATAAAGACACACGTTTGCGGACTGATGATCCTAGCGCGGCACGCAGTAGCATGTGCAAAAGGGCCAGTGGTGCGCGAATATCGCCCAGAGATTTTCCTTGTTTTCGGTGAGGGCGAGATGGCGGTATCTGAGCTGTCGTAAGATTTCTCTCGCTCCAAACATGGTGTATAATAAGCTTTCGACCTCAGATTGAGCGTTGTTTGTCGTTATATTAGGTCGTCCCGAAAGTTTTGTCCGTTTTTTCAACCTATCATAAAAACACGTGGAACGAAGATAGGGAAACGCTTTAAGCACTATCCGACGCATCTATTCCTCCTCTTTCTAACCGTCATGCTCCCATGCCGATTACTCTGTTGCTCACTGAGATAAACGCCGAAATCTCGAACCCATGGTTTTTACTATGTCCAAGTTTGGCAATTTTTCACAATCTTTATTTTTGACTTTCGGAAAAGCTTTGGCAACAGTTAGATAGAGCAAGCAAAGGGCAATATAATGCAATATTGCGGCATCTATAGCCAGCCTTGAAAATTTTTTAGAATTATTTTTCTGATGCTATCAAATTACACTTTTGGTGATGCCAAAAGCCAGAGATCATGAAATGGCGTACAGCTAAGGTGCTATTCGATGCAGCTTTTCCTCTTCTTTCCAGTGAGTGTATTTTCTCTCCAATTTGCGGGGTCCTTGGCGATAAAATTTTCATAATTCTTGAATTTGACCCCACCCCGGCGTGTACACGTAAAATGCAAAATCTTATATTTCGAAGCGGTAAACGCTCAGTTGCTTTGTAAAAACAGTGAATAATCGTAATTGATTTTTGAAAGCTTCAAAATCCGATAATTTTTTAGTGTTCGAGGCGTTTCTGTATTTTGGAACTTCCCAAAAGTGACGACTTCTGGAAAAATCATCTTAAAAAATACTGAAATGCCAGCTGGAGAAGCCAAAAAATTGCATTGCATTGCCCTTTGCTTACTCTATCTGATGGCTATCAAAGTTCTTCCAAAAGTTGAAAAAGAAGATTGTGAAAAATTGTCAAACTTGAACATAGTAAAAACCATGGGTGCGAAATTTCGGCGTTTATCTCAGTAAGCAAAAGAGAAATCGAAATGTGGGCTTGACAGTTAGAAAGAGGAAAAAAAGATGCGTCGGGTAGTATTTAAAGCGTTCCCCTATCTTTGTTCCACGTATTTTTATGATAGGTTGAAAAAACGGACAAAACTTTCGGGACCACCTAATAAATGACGAGTTGCCCAGTCGGGCACTTTTTTATGACGGTAATACAGCGCCCGATCAGAGATCGAGCGCTGTGTCACCGTCATAAACGAGCTCCCCAGAAGCCGTAGTGCGCAGTTGCATTGGGATTATAGCTTGAATGGGGGATCCACTTTAACGATCTACTGAAGTTGTTAGGGCCCGAATCTGCCTGTACATCGCCCTTAACTTGGAGGTTCGCTTTGATTACGCCGATTGGTTGTCTTTGGAAAGCTTCACTGACCTGTTTCGAATTTGGAGAATTCTAGGCGTTGTATCGCGATCTGGAACCCTTACCTATGAAGCCGTACAGCAAACAACCGAGGTTGGCCTTGGTCAGACTTTAGTTGTTGGAATGGGTGGCGATCCTTTCAATGGAACCAACTTCATTGATTGCCTTGATATCTTCTTCGGTGATCCAAATTGCAGAGGCATGTTTTTGGGTTCGACCGTTGCCCTTCAGGATAAGTGAAATCTAATTGCAGGTGTAATTCTTATTGGTGAGATTGGTGGAACGGCTGAAGAGCAAGCATCCGAGTTTATCAAAGATAATGTCAAACGAGGCATCAACAAGCCGGTGGTCTCTTTCATTGCTGGACTTACGGCTCCACCTGGACGACGTATGGGTCACGCCGGTGCCATTATTTCGGGAGGAAAAGGTGATTTTTCTGAGAAATTTTGAAAAATTATTTCCATCACTACTGAATGGTAACCCATAATGACTAGGTTTTTCCAACTAATGATATATTCAAATTGTTTTTACTTGTTGATCAGAATACTTTTAAAAAATTTCAGAAATGTAAATTAGCATCGTAAAGAATTTTTTTTTGAAGGCGTTGTTGCCGCCACGCCTTTTTCTCAAAAATCTGGACTTGTAGACACCGCAAAAGTTTTGGAAAGCATTTTAAAAGGGTTTTCACAAGGCGTTGTTAAAGGCAGCGGACAGGCAAATTGGACCCCTGTCAGATTTTGGTAGTTTCGGGTAGTGGACCCCCCAAGTACATCGTAGCCCCAACCCCACATTCCAATCATGCGCTAAGTCCTGAAAAAAGCGCTTCAAAACTCCACCAGCCCCGCCCACTTCCATTGAGTGGGCGTTATTGGTGGAAGTTTGAAGCGCTTTTTTTAGAACTTAGCGCATCAACTGGAAGTTGGGGTTGGGGCTACGGTGTACTTGGGGGGTCCACTACCCGAAACTACCAAAATCTGACAGGGGTCCATTTTGCCTGTCCACTGCCTTTAACACGGCGCTCCTTGAGAGATTCTCTCAATTCCTCACTGCTCAAATTTATTTTTTTTCAAATTTTCTTATATTTCAGGAACTGCCACTGACAAAATCGAAGCATTGAAGGCGGCTGGCGTACACGTAGTGAACTCGCCAGCCATCCTTGGTTCGACTATGGCTAAAGTGCTCATACACCAATAAGTGTATTTTTTTGAGGCTCCTATGATCTGATCATATAACTGTTGACTGTCATTTTTCCAGTCGTAATGCGTACTTAGTCATGCCATCATGGTGAAGTTTTTTCTTTCTCTGCTAAAGTAGCTTTAGACGATTGTTCGCTTTAGAGTGCAAGTTAGCCTTTTCTCTGAAGTAATGTGGAATCATAATCTGAATTGAGTTGATCTCTCTTGGCTAATGCTGCACCTAAATATTCATAATTCAAGGCTTTAGTTGTTGACGTCGTAACTAGGTGTTATTTATTTGACTAAGCTATGTAGGTACGGTTCGTCCTTGTGCAGGTTTTTGTTTTGTGGACTCTAAATGTTCAGACATTTATCGTTGTGCTGTAAACAGTAGAAATGTAGGAAATTTTGTAGTGGTAATTCTCTTCTCTGAAGGTTTCCTAATGCTTTAAGATTCACGTTCAGACGTCATATCATAAAGCTGTTCGAAGAAAAAAGCCTGTTTTTGCACAATGTTACACAACATCTTCAAAAAATCGCAATACGGGAAAAGGTGCTTCTTTGTGATCCACTGGAATACATTGCAAAAGCGAAACAGCACTATGGGTCGATAAATCATGAGGAGAACGGACGACATATGGACGTAAGAACATCTGAGTGGATTCCTCTCAAGCATAACGCAATGTTCACAATATTCGTCCATCGTCACACCACATGACATAACTGCGCAGCGTCCTGCTGAAACAGGACGATAGGCTAGTCTGGCGCGCCTACCAGAGGAATGATCACCAAAAAGCTGGCAGAAGTGTTGGAATGAATGGACTAGCTGGGAAATCAGTTGTATACGGTTAACTCACCCACCGGCGACCATCAAAAAGATCGTGGACGTCAGAAACCAGGGCTGTGCTAGGGACTGCACGCAACGTGAAGGGAGGTCCGTCAGAAACGAGGGCTGTGCTAGGGGCTGCACGCAACTTGTAGGGGATCTGGAATTCGTGAGAGATTAAATTGAGAAATGTTTTAAGAAAGGGGACAAAGTTTAGGAAGCACTTCTTGTTCAACAAGGTAGATGTGTTTTCTGTGATAAAAATTTTGACTTCTCAACTAGTCGTGAAATACAACGCAAGTTCAAAGATAACACATCCAATAGGAAACTATTGACACACATTTTGTATGAAATTAGAGAACAGAATCAAACCAAAATTGTACAATATGTTCGATAAGGAAGAGATAGATGAAGTTCAGTTTGACATAGAGAAATTACGAAAAATACAGAAACACTTCATTATAACCCCTATAGATAAAGCAAGTGCTAATTTTAGTTTTACCTGCAAAAAGTTTTATGTGCAGATGATGAAAAGAGAAATGGAGCAAACTAGTACAGAAGGGAGCACGTACGAAAACACTTCGTTACTAGAAGTAGATGTTCGAAATAGACATAGAAGTATACTTAGCGGATTGAACATCAAGTTCGAAGAGAAATTTAGGGAGATACCTAGAATTTACGGAATCCCGAAAATGCATAAAACTTACATTAAGTTTAGATACATAACAGGAGCTAGAAAAAGCACTTTGAAACCTGTTACTACTACTCTTCAGCTAATGCTTGCACATTTAAAAAAGCACTTCAATAACTACTGCAATGTAATCTGGCAGAGAACACGTATAAAACACTCATGGGCTATGGAAAACAGTGGGCAGGTGGTGAAGGACTTGATGACAGCTAAAGGAGACTTGAATTTGTACTCAGCGGATTTTTCGGGTCTGTTTACTAGTTTACCACACAGCATTGTTAGACAAAAATCTCATCGCACTCATAACCATGTGCATGAAGGATTTCAATACATTCAACTATACGGTGGTAAAGTCTCATACACCAATACAGACACAGCACATGGCAAGATTTTCAAACAGAAGACGTTCTCTACATGATAGATTCGCTGTTAAATTCAAGTCATCTATGCTTTGGGCGAATGGTCTTAGGCAGGTGCTATACTCCTCGAGGAGTATAGCATGGCGACGGGCGATCGCCAGTCGTAGCGGCTGGCGATCGCCCGTCGTAGCGACTGGCGATCCCGTCGTAGCGACTGACGATCGCCCATCGCTAATCAATACGTATCAAACGTGTAGTCGCCGATATTGGCGATCATCACTCATTTCCCACTTCCATTTTGAAGTACTCACCAGCCGGTGAGGTCGCCCTAAAAAGAATGAACTGCAAGACCAGTTTTTCACATTCAACACTCAACGGTAACTTGTTTGGCGATTGGCGATCGCCCGTCGTAGCGACTGGCGATCGCCAATATCGGCGACAAAAATCGCTGGTTTTGCACGTATTTGATGCATATCGATCGTCGCCATGCTATACTCCTCGAGGAGTATAGCACCTGCCTTAAACAAGTAAGAGGTATTACCCAAGGAGCCTCTTGCAGCCCACAAATTGCAGATTTAACACTTACCTATATGGAATATGAGTTTATAAGAAGACTGGTTAACACACCGATAATCATAGAAGATACATGGTCAACCACACATGTCGATATATAGACGATATACTAAATGTATCAAAAGATGCATCGGAATTTGAGAGACACATATCCGATATCTACCCCAGTTCAGGGCCCGGCAGGAGGTGGCATTTCAGAATTTTGAAAACGATATCCCCTTTGAAGCCAAAATTTCTTACGACTTCCCCTTTGACCTTTTTGACCCCCGTAAGTCCCTGACAAACAGATATACACAAATAATAAGATGGGCGGCCTCAGCGCTCCTTATAGTAGTACTACCTGGCTTTCCTGGTCAGCCTGGGTCATCGTTTGAGGGGATGGCCAAAAACCACACCTTTGTCCTTCTACCTTTCCGTCCTTTTAGGCCATATTCTCCACCCCTTTTCTGCAGTATCAATACTGCACTGCAGCCCTCCCCCATCTCAGACACTCGCGGTTGAGTCGCGCAGGGGATCCGCCCACAAAATGGGCGTTCGCAGCAAAATCCGGTGGACCGGCGCGAGTCATCGTTTTAGTTTTGCCCCGATTTTAGTGCGATTTTGCCGCGACGGGCGAAGATTTCGAAATAACGCACGTATAGGTCAATTCTTCCTAGCTTTTCTTGCTTCTCTTCCTTTCGATTTGAATTACTCTTTCAATTGTTATTGCGGGGGGAGGGTGCTTCAGCACTTTGCTTTCCATTGTTTTTCAATCTTTTTGCTTGAAACAGTGGATCCCAACACTTTCTAACTCGATATTTTTGAGATTACTTGTGTGTAGAAAGCCAATCAAATGTTATCTTACCATGTGCTTCCAACTTTTTATCTGATTATCGGGAGATTTTCTTGCCACGGTTTCGTTGTTTGACCCTTCATTATTCCTACCAGTTCCGCTATGACCTCTCACACTATCTTTTGCTTTTCCTTTTTCAGCTCGACTTTTGAGCTGTTTAGGAAGCCAGGCAGGATTTTGTGGAATCGACACTTCAACCACCTTGCTACGTGTTTCAATGGTGTGAATAACGAAGAGCTAGCCGAAGGAAATTTGGAGAACTTTTTCGAGATCTTGCGAGCAGTTGTACTTAGTGGGTACTCACATGGACTTGTTATTTCGGTTATTTCGATTTTTTTTGAAGAGAAGCTGAACATATGGCGAGACGTCATAGCCTTCTTAGAGTTCGATTTCATTCCTGTGTGTTTGTTGAAGATATTTAAGGAGGTGAGCCTTGTCGTAACGGAAGATCGAAATTCTAGAATTTCTGCACAGTCTCAGTCTTTCAGATATGCACACTACTAGTTGACTTTCTGCTTACTCTTGCCCATGATCTGGAGACACTGGACGCTGAAGATTTCCCGCTGAACGCTCTCCACGCAACATCAACTTTCGAGCGTGAGGTGATTTATGTATATATGTTCTGCTGAGGGTGATGGGAATACTTACATAATCTATAGAGATGCTCACGTCGAAGACAAGCGATATCAAAATTAATATGCAGCATGTGAAAAACATGCAGGCAAGTGTAGAAACACTACGATGCTCATCGAACTCGGTTGTCCGTGTTTGCAGGTTAACGCTCTTTTATCGAAGCTGAGAGAACAAGACAAAGAGTTGAAAAGGTCTTTTCACGTTGCAAAAAATCGGGAGAAATCGTTGCCAAAGGGTTGCTCACTACAGAGAAGTAATATATCCAGGGTCTGGCATCTTGGAAGTGCACCACCCTTTAAGGTCATCTTGAGATTATTCTCAGTCGACGAGGGAAAAGTATTGATTTTAGGGTCTAAATATGATCGAAGTCATGGAAAAGTGGCAGAGACCAAAACGCGCTCATATGCATGACCATTTCCTGTTGGTCCTCGACTTTTTGCGGCACTTCTTTCTAAATGTACGCGACTAATAGGTGAAGATGATAAGGTTGTCTCGTGATCACCGTTTGCGAACCTCCAACGGTAATACAAAACTACGCCTGTAGACAGAGCGGGAAGAAGGGAAAATTTGATCATTTTAAAGACCTCCCAGAAGGATTGGTCGATTTCTTAATAAGTGGGTCGATGTGTATTTAAGTACATTACTTTTGATAACTGATTTAGGTTTCGTCCTTGACGCTCTCGGCCTCTACCGCGACGAACTTCTACGGACGCCAGATGAGCATAAGCGGACTTCATTAGGTATGCATGTCCTCGGAAGACCTTTATGTGCATTGGAATTTAGGTGGTGGTTGTCCTTAGCAGAAGATGATGACGGTCGCGAGCAATTATTCAACGTCCTCTCAGAGAAAAGAGTTGTATGGAGCGATCACGCAAGGATAGCAATAGGGAGGGCCTTGTGAGTTTTCTCATAGAGAAGAAGCGATACATACTTCTTAACCTAATTTTGCAGGGCAGACATCCGAACATATCATTTTGACCTTGAAAGATCCGCTCTTCATCCATCAAAGGTGATTCATCTGTTTTATGTGGTCCTGTTATCAATAATTCTTGTTTTTCAGAAAAAACGTGTCGTCATCGAAGACTCTGAAGGCAGGAGTACCGGTACCACACAGGAAGACCTGGTGATTCAGAAGACTGAATGCGTAGAAGATGAAGTCGAAGACATCGAGGAAGCCTGATGATTTGTCTACATCTTTTGTTGTAGTTGTTTCGTAATCTTGCGTCGTTATAGTGGTGCTTCGAATTTCATACTTGCTGTCTGTCTGTGTGTCTCATTTCGATGTTAATGTAAAGCTTGCTCGAGAGGATCGTGTGTATTTGTTAATAAATTTCGCGACGTAAGACTGTGTTTTATTAGCAGAAAAGTTACAAGCATAAGAAGTGGGACGCAAAGAGATTAAGGACATCAGATAAGTGAAAAGGGAGGCGTGAGAAAGGGCACAGAAGACGCAAGAATCTGTTAAATAAGGGCGTAGGCCGCGTGCTCTGAACGCGATCGCGACATTTTGGTGTCTCGCGCAGGTCTCCCCATTTTGCCCCGATTTTGCCGCGCACTTTTGCCGCGACACAAAATCAGGTGTCCTGATTTTGCCGCGACACCGATTTCGCGAGTCGCCCACGCATTCAATGGCTACACATCGTTTTGCCCTGCGCGAGTCAACCGCGAGTGTCTGAGATACCCTCCCGCACGAACTTACCTCGGAAAGGCTTATTGGAGTGACTGTACCTTCTAATTTTAAAGTGGAAATGAACTTCACTGCATTGTTCACACCAAAATGTGCAAGCAGTTTGTTAGCGGCTGGTAAGTGTTCACTTTCCTTGCAAGGTGCCAAAAATCATTAAATCGATAGAAGAATTCCACGAATTGCTTCGAAGGGTAGCTTAAAACCATCTACCGAGGCCGAAAACATATGTTTTCAAGGTTTCAGCTCAATGGGTTCATCCGCAAAGGAATCTATAAAAAACATAGGGTCAAGATTTGCACAAACTTTGACGTTTATATATCTAAGATACTACCCATTTATTAGTCAGCTGCGAAACTTTACAGTTTACAATAACAAAATCATAAACCTACACTATACAACTTCAATAACAAAAACGTAAACCTACACTATACAACTTCAACAATTTCATAACATTCATTTCATAACAACTTCAACAATTTCATTTCATAACACTATACCCTATTCTTCGGTTTATATGCCACACCTCATATGAGCCGCACCCGCCGCAGCAAACAATGGCGCGAAAGAGTTTTGAAAAAGAATGTTTTAAATTTAACAAACTGAAGACTCACTGCATTTTGTGACAGTTCTTCATTGCACATGTTCAAGTCTCCACGTATTTCCTTACTCCTTTCGATTCGGACGAGTTTGTATACGTTCGAGTTGTATTTTATTCAATGGAGTGCTTTCTTTTTCTGGCTGATGTTACCGATTTCAAAGCTGTGGTTTCGTTCGATTTCAGTGGTACTGCTAATGTTTGAACGGTGTTTCGAAAGCTTTCACAACAAATAGCGAAATCGGAAAGTTACAGTCAGGCTACTAGGTAAAATAGGTACTACCATCATCGCACATTAGCCTGCGCGCGATAAAAATAATTGCGGCTCACATGCCGAAAAACAAGGTATATGAAAAGAAAGAGTTCACCCTGTTTCCAGGTGTACAAGCCGCACCCGTCACTCGAATTGGGTGCGGCTTGTACACCTGGAAACAGGGCTTGACTAATGCTTTAGTCCCCTGATGCGACGACGTCGACGACGGCGACGACGTGGAGAACGTTCTCCACGTAGTCGTCGTCGGCGCCGGCGCGTCCTCGTCTTCCGGAGTCGCATAGCAACATAATCTGAATAGTATCAACTGAAAGGCGGAAAAGTTTGTGTTGAGAGTTACCTTCACTCCTAGCTGTGCAGCTCCATACTCCGCAATTGGGATGAGGAATTCCAGGATCGTGTAAGTCTTGAGGTCTTGTCCTCCTTATTCACGAGTCGGACTAGAAGAGATGTGATGTGTGCGATGACGTCGTTATCTTTCGGCTCGTCCTAAAACGCAATTCATTACATTCAATGTGGTGAGATAAGAAACCATTTTGAATTTTTTCTCCAAGTTCAGAATAGTGGTGTGGTCTTTGCGGATTCTGTACTTGACTTCCTGGAGAAAACTTTTTAGAAGTTGGAGGAAAACTATAGTTCCCATCCCCGACGAAAGCGGATGTTTGAAGGAAGTGGATCGGCAAAATCGAGGATTTGCCGAGCCACTGCCTTTAAGGCACACGCCATACTTAAGTTAATCTTCAATGACTGGAAATAATATCTGCTCAAGAGACTCAGTATGGCGTGTGCTTTAGGCTGCCCGTCGCACCTTCGTCTGGAGTGAGCCTGATGTGTGAAACTCACATTTGTGTTCGATGTTTTGTTTGATCCGGGTTAGTATATTGGCTTTGAGCCGGTTGGAAAATAATTAGCAAAAGCACTAGTAAAGGGCAAGTATACATAAAACACTGGAACAGAGTCTGAAACAGCTGACATTCGTAGGGAGCTATCTTGCATATCACAAAGCTGACATAACTGAACCCAAAGTCTGAAACGCAGAGTTTTGATGAATTTTCGGACTCCTGAGCGAGGTAAAGAAATGGAAGCTTCTTTCTCCTCGTTTGAAGCAACTGCGCTCTAAATGAAGAAGTCAAGCGAAGATTTCATGTAAACAAAATTTACCTTAAACCCATCCAATTCAAATAGCACGGTGCCCTCGTCGGTTCCGATGGCTACTTTTGTTCGCTGAGCTTGAATGGTCCAAATTCTACCATTATTGTAAGCGATGGTTGATAGAAATCTGAAATGAAACTATGATATAAAGTAGTTCCAATGCTCACCAATCGCAAATACGCCCAGCTTTATAGTGGAGCAAAAGTTACATGCTAACCTGTAGGTGCCGAATTGATACAACGAACCGTTGAATCTTCACTACCTGAAAATCACAAGACTTATGCATGACAATTCAAAATTGTACAAGATTTACCCGTAACGATAAGTGAGAGTTCTGGATGATGCGATCACACGGATGAAACACTTTGTGCATGCCCATTCAACGTGTACGCACAAGTTTTAGTCTGTAAAACATAAAAGGTTAGGACCTAGTGACCAAGAAACCTAGATATAACCGACATGATAATCCCAAATTTTGACAAGATGATCGTCTGCGCCGGAGATGAGGTATAGCTTATCCCCACTGTGGTTGAAATCGACACAATTGACCTGGTAACACGGACAGATGGTCATGAATCAAGACGAGTCTACTGAATTCTACTAACACTCTCATAAATAAATAATGTATCATTTAATGTATTTGGGAACGGATCAAAGAAGATGAAAAAGAGATCGGAAAGGTCTAGAAGCATGTGCTGCACAATTTCAGCTTGGATAACATTGGTGGAGTGGCCGTGGAGGTTAATCGGAATTTTTTTTAGTGATAGGTGTCGTAATTTGTGGTTTTTCAGGTTTATAGGTGCGAAGCTCTTGCATCGAACAGTGGCCGATGTCTTACGCTGAATGCTGAAAAGTATGAATGTGGCTGGTGTGTTATAGACAACAGATGTGTTAGACCAATGGCATGCTTGGCAAGATCACCACAAGATTGGCTGAATAGCACGCAGCTGTGTGCAAATCCAGCTAATGAAGACTTCAGTCCTAAAAAGGGACCCGTCGGTGGAAAAACGAAGGTTAGGTCTACTGCTGTTGCGTTCACCTGTGGAATTGTCGCTTTTACTAGCGAGAAAGTACTATCAGGTGGGGTGACCATGTGTAATGAAATTAGTGAACCAGTAACTAAACGTACCTTGCCAAGCATCTTGCCAAGCATCTTGCCAAGCATGCCATTGGTCTGATACATCTGTTGTCTATAACACACCAGCCACATTCATACTTTTCAGCATTCAGCGTAAGACATCGGCCACAGTTCGATGCAAGAGCTTCGCACTTATAAACCTGGAAAAACCACAAATTACGACACCTATCACTAAAAAAATTCCGATTAACCTCCACGGCCACTCCACCAATGTTATGCAAAGTGTGTTTTCTGGATGAATCGCTCGAGGACCACACAACGTTGAACTCGACCGGAGCTGACCTCCCGATACACCAAGCCCGTAGTGATCGAACTGCATCTCATCACAAGCACAAACAGAATTGGATGCAAGATCAAAACAATTGCAGTTTTCCTCATATCACATTGTCGTCGAATGTCCCGACAGCAGGTTTTTCGCGTTCAACGTTTTCTACTTTGAAGTGACATCAAAAATCCGTCATAAAGATCGGATCGAGGATTTGGACCTTACAAATCCAAGCTCAAAAATGAGCACTTCGTAGAATGTACCACTCACCTTCACTGTGATATCTCTCCTTTCACCTGCAGCTAGGTAAAGTTTGGTTTGCGGTGCGGTGTAGACATTTCTGTGGACCTTTTCTCCTAGAGTGACCCTGGAATGCAAATGAAGTTATCTATCATTAGAAACAAGGACACAGACTTTACCTGCATATTATGACTTTGTGCAAAGTCTGAGAACTTGGAATCTCGAAAAAAAATGAAAAATTCTTGAGCGGCTGTCACAATTTCTAACAGGTAAACTGTAAGTAGACGATATACTGAAAAATGTGAAAGAGTTGCATGAACTTGCATAGCAGATCTGCATTTAGCAAGAATGCGGTAGACTAACCGTATAAGATATTCCCTGAAACGGAGCCAAGCAGTGTACGGATAATTCGCACATAAGGGTACCGAGGCCGAATCTCGGATTATATACTTTTTGTGTCGAAAATCCAGAATTAATCACAAAAACCACTCCATCAATAGTCAACGATGTCTCAGCAAGTCGAAAAGAGCCAAACACTAAAAGTGACTAAGTGCATCCGCACGAAAACCTAAAACCTGAAAGCTGAAAAGAAGGAGATGAACAAATAGACGCCAACGCGCCGACGAGGAACACGAAAAACCAAAAAAAAGAAAAACGATCGCGAAAGAACGACAAAAAACGAGTAAGACGAGAGCGAGGCAACTTATTTTCGAAAATGCTAAGCTGCGTATCACAGCAAATTGATTGCGTACATATATGTGCGCCGGACCCAACCCTTTTTGTGCGCCGGACCCCTCCCATTTTGTGCGCCGGAGGCCTCCCATTTTCTGTGCCGGAGGCCTCCCATTTTCTGTGCCGGAGCCCTCCCATTTTCTGTCCCGGACCCCTCCGATTTTCTGCTCCGCGGCTCGTCCAAATCTGGCGGACTCGCGGCGGGCAAATCTCTGCGCCGCGACTCCAGCAAATCTGGCGTACTTGCGGCGGAGAGATTTGCAAGCCCGCTGGAGGGGTCCGATCTGCCTTCTTTGTGACGTCACAAGAAGGTACCGCCCCCTCGCCCCGCTCTCATTGGTTAGCTGGGTCCGCCGCGGCTCTGGCAGATTTCGACTATCCGCCGGAGGGGTCCGATCGACTGTCTGAGAAAGTGCCAAATCTGTAAAGTGAGTTGGATATAGTAATCAGTATTGCACCAGTCCTAAGATAAGCTGAAAATCTGTGCTAAACTGGAACCCACCTTGACTGTTTTATCTAATGAAGCAGTGGCAAAGGCGTTATTCGCTCGGGTTATTCGTAACTTGCATGACATAGTGAGTGTGACCTGTAAAGAAAAAAAAGAGTAGCAGCGCGGATCTCGTCACTGCACCTACCCTCAAATAATTGCTTCATACGCCAGTTGTTTTCCCAGTCCCATAATTTGATCATCATATCCTCACCTGAGGTAAGCAGAAGACATTGGACAGGATGAACAACAATAGATCTGCAAAAGCAACGAATTTCAACATGATTCCGAGCTTCTGAATGAAGCTGGTGTCCTGCAAGAACGATTAGATTGAATCTAGCACAAATGAGAACTCCTCTGACCTGCGCCCACTTAACACGTTGGCAAGCGTGTGCATATGCCTATATGCACACGGTTGTCGGTTGGTTGCACAAACAACGGTCAAAACTCATTTTTCCTCTTTATACCATCTCGTTCTCGTATAACTTCTGTTCACATAGATGCTACAAACTCCATCTACTCAGATAATCGCCGAGGGCAGGCGGTCCGCAAACTCGCGCTTTTCTGCAGGCGGTCACCAGGATTTCGGGGCGTGGCCAAATCTTCAGCGGGCGGTATTTGCGTTTTCTGCAAGCGGGCATCAATACAAAATTTTCTGCAAGCGCTCGTCAAACAATTCCTTTCAGCGAGCGTTGGCCAAACTTTCAGCAGGCGCTCAGACTCTTTTTACGCAGTTTCGGGCGTACGCCGAGAAAAGATGAGACTCTATGTGGCAGAGGTGCCATCGATGGTTTTATTACCCAAGTTTGGGGTACTTTCTTTCAGCGGAAAGTACCTGAGGGCTGTGCGGTCCCTCAAAAAGGACCGTGCGGCTCTCAATAATTTTGCATGTTCTCGCGGAAAATCCGCGAGAATGCGGCCACTGTGCCGCAACTTATATATAGAAAAACCGCGGTAGATCTTCGAGCGTTCGTCTAAAAATTGGCCAAAATTATTCCAAATTTCTGCAAGCGGACCACAAAAAATCAGCGAACTATTTTTCCGGTGCCCGCTTGCTCAAAATTCGCATGGCCGCTTGCCCCCGGCGATTATCTGAGTACTTGCAAAGATAGAAGAGCTCTTTCTGAGACATAATTTTGCATATTTTCCATTATGGCTGCTGAACGAGAAGCTTTAGCGCCACAAAGAAAGCAGCCAGCGAGATTGTGGCAAACGATAGACCAAAAAAAGGGAATGTGCTTCGCGGATCAATCGAAGTTGCTTTGGATGACACAAAATATTCAAGTTCTCTAAAGAGCATGTGCTAAGAAGTCACCATAAAAGTGGAATGTGGGTTTGATTTGATCCGAAAAAATGATAACTCGAACGCAGCTAGCAAGAAAAAGCAAACATAACAAATAGAACAAGCAGTTTTACATTCCTAGTTTGAATTTTTGAATAGCATAATCATATTTTCATTGTGCTTCTGGTCTGGACGATCCCTTAGGCCCTCGACAGAGTTCACGCGATTTGATCGGTATTATCGGTATTATCGGTAAAAGGGCATTTGAGAATTTTCTCTGCAGACAGATGCTTGAATACCGAAAAAAATGAGATACTTGATGAGGTCAACATCGAAAGCAATTAGTGAAGCGTTTTGTTGAACTTGCTTCATGAGATAAGTCGTCAGGGAAAGATTTTTGATCTGCTCATCAAAAAAATGATTGTAAAAATTAACTGCTGGACATGAAGAATCGATAAAGTTTTGTCAGAGACGATTGGACATCGGGCCGTGACTTGTGCAAGCTGGCAGAGAGAGCGCACATTTTGGAAAACACTGCACTATCCCCTCCCCTCATTAAATCTCGAAAATTATCACCAAATTTGCATAGGGTGGGCGTTTTGAAGAATACGCGTGAACGAGCAAAGGTTGCTTTCTGGGGGGTGCGTGGCGTTAGGTACCCAGCCGAGGTGCGGGCGTTAGGTACCCAGCCATCAGTGGTATACACTAAACCACGTCCCTTGGCTGCTTTAACAGCGGGTACCTAACGATACACCAAATCCTAGCTGCTAGAACAGCTCCCCTAGCTTGTTGAAGCGCTGGGGCTTGCGACCCAATAGTTCGAGAAAATCAAAAAAAAATGCGCGATGAAAGCGCAAATTTACAACGCTTTTTCTATTGCTTTTTTATCAATTTTGGAATCACAGAAATTCGTGGCGAATGTTAACAACAGGGTAAAGCTTTTATGAGCAATTCACATAGTTTTGCAAAAAAATCGTGATGATCTGAACCAATAATGTTAGAGGGAATTTGATGAAAGTTAACTTGATTAGAACACATTTTTCTTTCTTCTGAAAGGTTTTTCGTGTGAAAATTTCAATGAGCTATTGTATTTTATCATGCCTACGTTCTCTGTAATGCTTTTTTGGAGGACTTCATATTGCGATTGTTTCATAACCATTTTTTTCTAGCAGCCAAAATATGCTCAGTTTATCCAACCAAAGCTATGATTTTTTTGTGACTCCCTAAAGCGAAAGATTTTTCCAATAATTGTTCTCAGTAGAGTTGCTGCTTTTTCCTGTTTCATTCTCTTGGCGACACTCATCCGAAATTGGCATAGCTCTGTAATTTACAATTTTCGTTGACTGAAACAGAGCTAGTGCCCTTCCCATATCAATGGGCCACATAGTCCGCCTTAAAGCTCCGATTTCTGATGGCAAGTTAAGCTCTTCTTTCAATCGGTTCCTCTTCTCATTGTCAAAAATATATTTTAAGCAGTTTTTTGAAACAAAGGGATATTTCATGCAACTTATTTCCCAGGAGCGTCTCCGAAAGTGCGCTTTGCTTCAGTAATATCATAAAATTAATTCTACGAATCTACTTTTTTGAAACTCCCGCTGACTTATCGGTCAGATCAGATTATCACAATTTTTTTGCAAAACTATGTGAACTGCTCATAAAAGCCTTACCCTCCATTTAGCTTTCATCACCGAATTTCTGTGGTTCTAAAATTGATTTAAAAAAAGCAGTAGAAAAAGCGTTGTAAACTTGCGCTTTCATTCACGCATTTTTTTGATTTTCTCGAACTATCTTTTTCATGTGAGTCGCAAGCCCCAGCGCTTCAACAAGCTAGGTGAGCCTTTCTAGCAGCTAGAATTTGGTGTATCGTTAGGTGCCCGCTGTTAAAGCAGCCAAGGGGCGTGGCCTAGTGTATACCACTAATCGCTGGGTACCTAACGCCCGCCCCCCCCTCTTTCTGGGTAATGAGAGTCGGACGCGTTTTCCTGATGATGAAGCATGTTTTGAGGGCTCTTGGCAATGTCGCAACACTCTCCTTGACCTTCCAAAAATCGGACAGTCTTGCTGTGGATGCTATGGAAGCTACACGTGTTGCATCTCGTTCTCTCATAGACACAGTGATTAATAGTTTACACCACGAACTGATGAGATCCACATCCGTTCTGAGGCTATCCAATGGCAGACGTGAGAAGCGATTGGATAAACAATTTTTGTTGGATTACTATAAGAAAAGTGAACACCGAATGGCAGCTCGTATACTTACCAACGCTCTTCAAAGACCACAAGTCGAGAGACAAGGAACCTTCCTCAGGAGGTGAGGATTTGGAAGAAGAATTTCAACCGTCACATAGCGAGAGAGATTTGACAGACGAAGAAAAACGGATTAGATCTAGGCTGTTAGCGCACAAAAATTTCAAATCGTTAGACGACACGGCAGATGATGACGACTTGATAGACTCGATTGATCTTGATTCAGAAAGCCTACACTTCCATGAAGACAATTCACCCGACACTATTTCAGACGTTTCACTAAATTTTAGTTTGGGGTCGACATATCGCAGCTTCGAAAGGCAACTACTTGACAAAAGTGTGCGAGAGGAAGCTGAATCTATGTGGAAACTTACCGTTCTGTGGGCAATAAGATGAAACAGACATCCATTCCTTCTTTCGCTTTTGTTGCTGTGGATCGCCATCTCATCTTGGATAAATTGATATTTATGGATATGGATATTTTGTCGGAAATTTCCGCACGGAATGGGAAACATACGTTCCTCCTAGTACCACGTTTAATAACAGAGGCCATCCTTTTCACATCAATATCAACGACAAATATGACACAGCTATGCGAAGTACTCTGATCAGCGAATCGATAGAGTTGTTGGAGGACTACTGTGCTGTTTCAAGACTCAAAGAAATTCTGTTCACTTTTTACTCATCTTTGCATGATAAGGCGCAGCATCTGAGAGAATGGCCACAGGATTTCCGAAACGATAAAACGTCAAAAAGACTCTACGAAAACTTGCTAAGGTTTCATTCACAGCTCCAGATGCCATCAGAGGTCAAACTGGTAAGACCTTTTTTCCTTCCTCCCTTTATTGATCATTTATTTGAATGATAGGTTCTCAAGTGTGTTCTTGTAATTCCTGCCAGCAATGCGGATTCTGAAAGAACATTTTCGACGGCAAATCGTTTGACTGCAGGCGAGAGAAATAGTTGTCGACAAAAACAGTGAACGCTGTTATGCAGTATGTTGAATGCGAAGTATTATCAGATATGTTTTACACTAACTTCATACAGTGTGCAGCGAAATGGTCTCAATCTACTCACAGTTGCTCCTTCTAAGCTCGCATACCAGTGGATCCACCCAAAGCCTGGTCTCAATGCACCGGCTGGTGTTCACTCAGCAAAGGGATCCTCTACAAACATGATGTCGACTATACAAGAGGCTCTTTCTAAAAGTCTGAGTTTACTTTGTTGCAGCACTACTATTTGTGAACGTGTATGCTTTGCAGAGAAGTTAAATGCTAGCTCACTTACGAATATCATGGGAACGGAGGCAGAAGTGGAGACTTTACTGAATGTTTTTAGCGAGCAGGCAGTAAAAGGACCTCTACGCAGTGAATCTGATATTGAAAGGGTTCGACAGGACATTGTTGCTGAGGAGAGGGCTAAAGCTCAGATATTTAGCATAGGTGCGCATTTGATGATGTCAATGAGTAACTTCTTTTTTAGTGAAGTAAATATTCCACTTGCATTATTGACTGAGCTGGAACAGTATTTGTTTGCATGTAACTATTCACATACTTAAGACAAAAACATGTTTCAAGAGACTCAAGACCGTATAAACATTTGTTTGCGTTCGACCTCAAGTGGAGGCAAACAAATGATTTCAACCTACCATATAACCACAATGTAAACACAAGTTTAGTCAAAAACTCGTAGTTAAACAGACTAACTGAACTGGAACAGCATTTGTTTGTCTCCAAATATTACACGGTTGAGTCAAAAACCTGGTTCAAGAGATTGCAAAACGAGCTGAAACAATATTTAAGGGACCAGGTACACCGCATGGCAGTCACACCTTCGTCAGTGCATCACTATGCAAAAGATTGAACTACTATTATATATTGTTATTCTCAAATCACTTGCTGAAGACATCCCACCACCCCCACGGAGGCAATCGGAGTAGTGGACCCAACAGCACCGAAGAAAATTTTAGATTCTGCAGGCAGACATAAGGGCCATTCGCCCATCTACCATCGTCTACAAACTCTCGATCTTATTGAAGCTTCTATCAGAAAGGCCATTAAAGCAAATGAGACTGCGGTCCCTTTCCAAATGGCGTGGGCGGCTTTTCGAAGTTGCCACGGGTGCCTTCAATGGATCCTCCGGAACCTACATTACCAACTACAGCGACTTCCGCATCACCACGGAAGCAGCCAGCTCTTTCCGGTTCAGATGCTCCAATGAAGTGTGCCGTCCGAACCACACTTGAGCACCACCTCAACAGGGGGTGGTGCTCAAGTACCCGGGGGCGCCCCTGTTGGATTTCTCTCCAGAGGGGTCAACATCTACAGTTTTATCCATTGAACAGGTATGGGTGATGCTGCCGCGTCTTCCGGATGCCCTTCTGTACCCGAAAAAAGGATTTTGGAGTCTGAGTGAACTTTGAAAGGAGAGATGGGTATGATTAGGAGCAAGTTAGTTTTGCTAAAAATCATTTATTATCTGTTCAACTGCATCAATAACATTTATCATATTTTCCTATTTTTAGTTTCTTAAAAAAGATCTTCTCAGGAACGACATCGCCGCCACCAATTGCCATTCTCATACGACTACAACGCACGGCCAAGACTGGAGTGGCGGCACTGAAATTATTTTGTATAATTATCATAAATAAAAACTTCGCATTATATTTTTGGAAAAAATGCAGTTCTAATAAAAAAGTCCTATTCGATATGAGTACCACTTTAAAACATGGTTTAAATCTAGGAGTATGGCTATCAATTTTCGGCGGGGCTCCGCCCCGGACCCCAAAATACGACTTCCCCTTTGCTTTTTCGGGTCAAAAACGATATCCAGCTTGTGAAAGCGCAACCCCCGCCGGGCACTGACCCAGTTCATTGGAGATAAAAAAAAAACAGTAGCAAGTAACAAACAATTTAGATTTAACTATAGATACTAGTAACCAAAATAATGTTTAGTTTGTACAATAAAACAGATGGTTATGATTTTAGAGTTATTAGGTATCCTCACTGGAAATCTAACATACCTAGATACATACTAATAAATATGCTTTTACATCAGAAGTACTCAGAATTTATAGAAATTGTTCTTATCTAGAGTTTAACGATAGAGTAATAGATCTAGGTAAGAAATCCAAAAATAATGGATGGGAAGGTAGTTACTTTATAATTATCGTATTTCACACCTTACATGACCGGCCATTCATTTTACGTAAGTACGGTTTTCCTACGGCTATTCATCTTCCTTTGCTACATGACCTACAAGAATTGTGGACTAAAGACAACGCGCTGGAATAGCAAGGTCACATTCAAATCCAATTGATGCATACCATCGTGTCTATCTCTCTCTTTGTGATCGTGTTTGCCACCCTCTCCTCTGCATCTGGTCATATTTTGTAAAATTGGTAACTCTCATAATTGTTTCTGACTCTTTACCAATCCTTAGTAATCATATTCGTGAATATGTTACTTTTTTAAGCTTTCTTGGGAGCTACTGATGATGGGGCGCCAGAAAAGCTACACTACCGGTCTAGTTCTTACCCGAAACCGGTTGTGTAAAAAACAGTAGTTACCTTTTGGACATTTTGGAATCCTTGGAATTTTTTTTCTTATTGTGGACTTATCTCTTTGTTTCTTTATATAAATATTCAAGTAGGTAAGAATCACAGTATCACGGGGTGTCAAAGGAAGGCTGATTTGTGAAAAAATATGTCGAAAAGTGAGTTCATCCTTTTCATTTTGGAGCGCGCACATGGAGGTTTTCGACACAGATGGGAGCTTTTTCGGACTGGATCTAAACTTATTAGCGACTTCTTAAGACGTTCAAATTTCCTTTTTGATGCAGTAAAGGTTCAGTACGATTTCTCTCTCGATGTTGTCAGATGCCATCTTGCGGATGGGTTGTGATATACACCCTGAATGCGATAGACACTACCACGTACAGTCTCTTTCAACCTGGAGTAGGCGAAATATTCCATGTGGAACAGCGGGTCTGCATTCTGCATCGCTGGAGGGCCGAGCGCGCAACTGGCATTTTGCCAAGCAAAGACTGAAGAGAATGAAGCGAATGCCTGCGACCAATCACCGTCTAGTCGAGCTTGAAACATATTGCACTGCGAAGGGCCGGGCATACATCAGCGATTTCATCGCCTTCGATTCTCACAACAAGACAATTGGTACGTATTCACTGCATGCTAATCATCTTGCATTTTGGTTGTGATAGTTAGTCGCTTAGTCGTGTCGGAGAACTACCACAACCGAAATGCCAGATGATCAGCATACAACAAACTGTAACTGCTGTCTTGTCAAGAGAATTGCGAAGTTATGAAGTCGTTGATGTGTGCCGGGCTCTTGAAGGCACCGTCCACCCAAATTGGAATTGGTGAGATTATGGTACCAAGCAGCTGCGGGGTCCCAACTGTATGATTGCCCAACTCGCACTGCCTGAAGTTGCTTCCGAACCGAGAAAATTGCTTCGGAAATCGCTTCAGGCCGCGTTCGCGACGCCGGCTCCTCCCCTTTCGGAGTAGGCGTGACGTTCGTCCCGCCCACCCGTGCGCGCCCAGCCAATCACCGTACCGAAAAAATCGCTCTGCGCGTCCTGAAAAAGGGGATTTTTTGTGGTTTTCGCGGATTTTCAACTTGATATTCGGAATCAGGGGTATGAGAAGGCCCTAAAACGGCAAAAACATGAGGGTCGAAATTTTGGGGTGGACGGTGCCTTTAAGACCTTGGCCAGAGTTCATGCGATTTCATCGCCTCGTGATTCTCTAAACAAGACAAAGTTACGAGTTCATTGCATGCTGATCATCTTGCATTTCAGTTGTGATAGTTAGTCGCTTAGTCGTGTCGGAAAACTATTACAACCGAAATGCAAGATTATAGGCATGCAACGAACTCGTAAATCGTCTGTTGGGTGAATGCGAGGCGATGAAATCGTGTGAACCCTGCCGAGACCTTTGGGAGCGGTCATACCTCGTCGCCATAATCTTTAGTGAGTGCGGACTCTGAAGGCAAGGTTTGGCATATACGCTTAAGATTACAAAAGCTATGCGTCTATGCGCATGAACTCTACAGCATTTACAGACATTTGGCAAACTGCCACATAACGTATCGCAGCGATTATGTAGAAATCGCTTTAGGAAATTCCGAGGCCTATCGCAATGCAGTTACAACATTAAAGATGAAACAATATTCATTTCGGACTTCAAATTACACAAAGCCAGAATATGCCTAATAGCCGCTCACGGGTATCTGTCTCTGTTAGCTGTGTCAGAAATTATCCTAGCATTTAACACTTACGTATCGCTTCCTCTTCCATCAAATACTCCAGCTAAGAAGAGAAGGATACTTAACATTAGTATCCGTGGCTTTTTAAGATGAAATGTATACCATTGCACTCGTCTTCGAACGCTGATTCCGAATCTTACTTCCGTATCTGCTGATCGTTCCTCTGAAAGGAGTTGTGAGAGATTTGGCTCCAAGTTTGGCCGCGCGAGGTAAATACAACAGAAGCACCAACCTGGTAACATGATAACACGCATTCATTTTCCTCTCATTTTCATTTTTATAGGTACCTTTTGGATTAAATGTGGAAAACACTCATATAGAAATGACTCCTCGTTAAATTCTCAAAGAATAAGGGCCTGCACTTACCTCGAGGAAACCTAACTCTCAAAAAGAAGCTTAATTAAATGCAAAAGTGAGAGACAAGGATATGAACTTACACTGCGTCAACTTGTGAGGCTATCGCTCCAGCCACTACACCACAGGTACGGCGGTATTGGTGTTCCTATCATATCTTGGATGGCCAAATTTGGCATGAAAATTCTTCATAACTTCTTCCAGAGAAACAATTAGCAGAAACGGAAGTCAGACTCGGATCCAGCGTTCTGTAATGGTATGTACCTCATTTCAAAAGCTCACGGACACTAAGTATCGTTCCCTTGTCAAACATTTTTCAAATCACATTCGACAGGATGAATTGCACTAACCAAAAGGTGCGCAACTTCCTTGTGCACATTTCAAAGACTTATCCTTTCTAAGCAGAATAACACGATAAGAGCAACATTAGTTTTTCAGGCATTTATTATTTGTGAAATCTACCAAAGTATCAAGGTAAAGAAAACTCTCAGACGCTTGCCAGAAATTCTTTTCCACAATGCTATAACTTCAAGCAAATTAATTCTTCTCGAGAATCGCAAATTTTGCGAAATGAATTTTATCAATAAGGATGCTTTTCGGTTGTATCTAAAGTACTTCCTTTCGAGTCGCTAGCGTACACAGAAAGAAAAAGGGTCAACATAGAAAATGGGTTTTTGTGGAAGATTGTCTCACTTATGATAAGCACTGGAGAGCTAATATGGGATAGATGTATGAAAAAATTACCGGGTCCAGTCTGAAGGCAAGTGACAATCTGAAACGCCATTTGCAAAACGGTTTTCCACAAAAATTTGAAAAATTGGGGTATTTGCACCCCAAAAATGCCTCATCGAATTTTATGTAAGCTCTGAAGTCTTCCCTCACGAGTGGGCCTAAATTTTGATAGCTATAAATGTTGTATGGAAGGGAGAAGATAAAACAGCGCATCTTCAACCAAAAACAGCTTCTATCAAAAGAAATGTACCAGCTACTTTTGCACATGATTAAATGCCGCTCAATGTTTGCAAATGTACAGCAGTGACGGTCCAAGAAATTTTCTCCGAGAGGAGGGGGAATTGTTTGGGCCTCAACAATGAAACTCAAGGAACCTGAAATTTTTTTTACATAGCTAATTTGAGCTTTTAACACTTCTTAAAGTTACCTCGATTGCTTACAATCTAAAGCAAGTCATTTGTATTTTCCTACACGAATAACAGAGTGGCCCGTAGTAAAGCTCGGTCATGGGAGATTATCTCCCCTGAGACCTTCATGTGATGTTCTCTCAGTAAAATGACGACCGCCCATTTCCCCTTGCTATAGGGATGCAACGTCACCTGAGAGGTGAGCCTCAGGTGCAGTTCGGCAGGGAGATGATCTCCCTGCCGGGTCATGGGAGATGATATGAGCGATGATGTCCAGAAATAGTGTGCTAACGAGGAAACGCAGAGAAGATCTTCGTAAGTTGCTCCTGAGTAACTTACGATACACAGCAATTTGCCTAACACTGCGGACAAAATCGGCGCAAAATTGCACAACCGCGCCCGAAAAGGAGAGGATCGATGAACAGCTGATTTTGGCGAGGAAGACAGAAAAAAACAAATTCTTCTCTTTTTTGTAAACTTTACTGGTTTTTTTGAAGCTGTCCAAAACGAGGACTCATTTGTTCATTTCATTGAATTCACGTTGCAACCATTTCGTTTTGCCGCAAAATTTTCGTAACGAAATGTTTTTTTGTTTTATCTTTGCGTTTGCTAGGCGAAATCCTGATAGCGGTCATCATCGATTGGGTAGTGGCCGCTATCAAAGATTGCCCGGCGATGCAGCAAAAGTTGTGTCGCTAAGCGGAGTCGAACCACGGCCGCGCGCGTGTAATTCCAATGGCTTACCCAATTAACCAAATCGAATCAAGTAGCTGTTTTTTCGAGAACGCACTTGATCATAATATCCAGGAAGAGATCTGCATCCAGATCAATAGCTCGCCGGATGCTGGACTGAGGCGCCAAGATATCAACTCCGGTCCGCCTCAGGGGAGATGCGCTGACGGTAGTTTACTACGGGCCAGTAATTTGTAACCCTGATATACGTGACTGCACACCATGCACGCTACTCAACGCGACTTGTAAGATTGGAAGCTGCTCAATTTCAGTGATTTCTCCTTGATTCCTTGCTTTTTTTTATTTGTTTGCAGTTTCTACACTCTGTTACGTTAAAAACGCTTTTATTGCGGGATGACTAGTAAGGATGTCGTCGATTGCCGCGCATAGTGCAGACTCCCATATTAACTTACAAATTATGGAGGATAGTCGAAAATATTGCTACCGCTGATTGTAGATAATAATTCCAGTCCCAGAGCACTTCACACACACTATAATTCACTGCGATTCGGAGCAAATGCATTCCGAAACATATCCACTTTCGCCGAACACATTCGCATCAAATCGCGATTCGCTCGGCGCTGCGAAAAACCTGATATTGCGGTCCATTTAAATGGCAGCCATTGAGTGTGTGTCTGTGACGCGAATCGTTGACTCCCTTGTTGACCTCGTTACTGCTGGGAATTTGCGAATTTGCGTTCCCTGTGCTAGCATTGAGATTATGCACTTGCAGAAGTGCACAGGAATTCTTTGGCATCAGCAGAAATTTTCATGAGAGTTTTCTAGGTGGACATACAGAGGCTAAAGAGACTGGAAGCGAACAGATTGTCTCTCAAAGACAGTTGAAAGCTTTAATCCAAGTTGAAATTTTGCATACCACAACAGCTTTTTTGACGTTTCAAAAAATAGTGCACTTCTGTTACAAAACATCAAGATACGGGTATGCATCTCATGGCTATCAATCAAAACTTACAGCTTTTTGAGGATGGACAACAGTTATTGATGTGATTATTCAAGAACTTGCCGATATACCTGTGAAACGCTAACGAGTTTGATGGCAAAAAGTATGTTTTGTGATGCCATTGGAAAAAACACTTTTTTCAACACGCCTAAGCATGATCACCAACAGAGCATCAGACCTTACATTCAAAAATTTGGTTTTTTGGTTTTCAAAGCAAACGATTGGCTAAAAAATAGTTTCGCTTTTTCATGCAAATCTTCGCAAAAAAATTTTCTTGTTTTTTTGTCTATGAATTTTCGAAGAGAAGTGGTTCGAAGTTCCTACTATCATATATAGGTTGAACCGAAAGTTCTGTCGCACCATTTTCAAAAAATCATAACTTCTTTCCGTCACGACGATTTTGCGCAGTTCAAATTTTGCCTGAAAGCGTAAAGCATGTAGTTTTCAAAAGTACCTTGAGAACTTTCCAACATGCTCAAGTTGCAGAGATAAAAATGAAAGGACGAGATCATCCGAAATTCGGAATTTTTAAGCAAAAATTCTAAAAATTCAGAAACTGTGCGATATAATCCAGAACAGCCATCATCCTAAGATTTCTTATATTTTCACTAAGTGAGTTAAGTTTGTACTGATCGAACTCTTTTTTCAGAAGTTATGATTTTTTGAAAAAAAATGCCGAAAAATCAATTTTCTAAGAATTCTTAAGAAATCGATTTTTCAGCATTTTTTTTCAAAAAATCATAACTTTTGAAAGAAGAGCTTGATCAGCACAAACTTGACTCACTTAGTAATAAAATATAAGAAAACTTAGGATAATGGCTGTTCTGGATTTTATCGCACAGTTTCTAGATTTCCAGAATTTTTGCTTAAAAAATCCGCATTTCGGATGATCTTGTTCTTTCATTTTTATCTCTGCAACCTAAGCATATTGGAAAGTCTCTAGGTGACTCTTGGAAACTACATGTCTTACGCTTTCAGACAAAATTTGATTTGCGCAAAATCGTTGTGTTTGAAAGAAGTTATGATTTTTTGAAAATGGTGCGACAGAACTTTCGGTTCAATCCAATATAAACCACTCAGAATTTTCTTTGTTAGTAAACGAAAATCATGCCCCAATGTGGCTAAATTTCCAAAAGCTCAGTTTTTGATTTTCTAAGCTCACTTCCCATCCTGTGATGGATGTGGATATGAGTAATTTGTTATCTGGATGCACCCAAGTTTCCTCTATTCAGGGAGCAGAAAAAAATCGGTCTGCCATTCTGAAATTTTCGACGAAATTTTCTCAGATTTGCACACAATGAGGAATTTTGGGTTTCTCACTGCGCGCCTTTTTTTTCATAGAGAAATGATACATTCGAACACAACATTAGAAAGCTCGATACTTCTCCGTTATCCGGAAATATTTTTTCAACATGTTCTCATGAACTATGCGCTTCGGCTTAGACTTTTTTTCAAAGATTTTCGAGGACTGTGTCCTTGCCATGTGTCAAGACAATAATTAGGACGTTCGGGCAACTTTGGCATTTTTTTCATCATTTCCGTTGAATACGAGAACACAAAAGTGTTCGCGGTGTTTTATAAAAGCAAAACAGTTTCAAACGTTCATTAAAACATCTTGGTCCGGCAATGATTTAAAAGAAATTCTGCTGTTCACTTTGTTTCCAGCATGCGAATTTGGCCGGGAAAGAATATAAATCGTGGCTTGACTTTATTTTCAACCACAATAAAGAAGACAAATACAATGATTCAAATGCTTTTTGATTTTATCATATGTGTGAGCACTAAGAATTCCATAAAATTTTCTGGTACGGATATCCTATCTTTGAGGAACTGCATGGTTTTAGACTTTGTCTTTGGATCTTAGTGTTCATCTTACCATAATAGCCTGATGAACGATATCATTTTCCAGTTTCAAACAACTATACAACTTCTACGTTTACAATAATGTTTAAGTAGAATATTGCCGTTTTAATTGTCTTTCGGTAAAAAAAAGTTTTGAAATTTTCAAATTATTGTAGTAGGATTGTAAGCCTCAAAAAGTTTTGCTAGTTTTCTCTTTTCAATGTTGCAATGGTTTGGCAGTGATTTGGTATGCATCGTAATTCTACCGCAGCTCGTTCCAAGTTGTTAATAGATCGTGACACATGAACTGCTGTATGATATCTGACGTATTTTTTTACCACACAACAATAATCATACCGTACATCCAAAGCTTAAAATCAAAATATTATAAAACATAGATTCTTTATTCTGCCACGTCTCCAGCAAATCATGATGTATCAAAAACTCTGCCAGAAATCTAAAACAGTTTCTTTTGATTGTAATTCATGACTCTGACAGCAATCACATAGGATACGACAATTGCACGAGATATCTGACTTTTCAAATTTTTCGATTTATCCAAAAATCGTAATATCACAGCTGCATCTTCGATCTCAAAAGCATACATGATTACATTTGCTCTGCCAAATTGCTTTGACACTCTTCAATTTCTCGCTAAAATGTGCGGCATTTTCTGAGGAAATCCTAGCAAAGATCATTTTGATACATTGGGTAAGATCTTTCGTAAACTTCAAATACGCGGAAACAGAATACTGAAGCTCTTTTTCAGAAACCAACGCGCAATTCAGAGAATTGTCTCCTTACGAACCTTACTGCAATAATTACTGTTGAACTATTGAATCTAGTTCTGAATTGCAATTCTGACACAGTTTAAAGGGTTTGTGGGTCTTTCAAATTGTTATAGGTTAGTAGCTCGCGCCGCTATGATTAACTGGGCGGGACATCGAAGGTGGACGATGTCCGATGGATAATCAACGTCGTCGTAGTGGAACGTTTTGATCCGTGATCAGTTCAACACCATGTTCCACGTCGCACTATGTCTGGCAATAGTACATGCAAGTAAGTTGTACTTTTCTAACCTAATTGAGCTAAAGTGCAGAGGATTACGGTAGAGCTACGGTGAGAGATAGAGTTTAGGCTCAGAAAAGTATCTCTCTTCTCTTCTACTCCTTGCGTTTCTTCCTCCCGGGTCACTGTTGTTCTTCTATGATTTCTAGCTCTTTCATATAGTATGGGTGGGTAAGAATAGTTTAAAGCACAAATTGTTTGTTTTCCTTGCTCATTATCTGGGAAATCATATTGCAAAAATTTGTGCCCTATTATAACCATGCTTGGAATGAGTAAGGAGTCATCTTTATGACATTTTTTTCTTCACTAATCAGACTAATTCTCATTTTTTTCGAAATTGCTTAAAAATAGTGGATCGCAAAAATTGATCCTTCTCGGATTTTGGTGGATTTTAGTAAATAGTTCCTGCTCACTCAATGGAAGTGGGCAGGACCGGTGGAGTTTCAAAATTCATTTTTCAAGGCTTAGCGCATGAATTGGCAGACGGGATTTGCGCTACAGTGTACTTGGGGGTCTACTACCAAAACCCACAAAAATCCGGGAAGGGTCCATTTTGCCGATCCACTGCCTTTAAGGCATCCCATTCATTTTCTTCAGGATTCTATAGAACATAAAAAGCAGGTGTTTTTTGATTAGTTTCACAAAAACCAGACAGACACAATTCTAAAGAAATTTCCTTATATTTCAAGCCCTTGTTCACCCTTCTCCTCCTCCCCCAACTTCTTTATACCGGTTATACACTTTTATCTTTCAGAACTGGAAAGTTGTATAGACGGAGAATAATGTACAGAGAGAAGGTTCTAGCTATGTTTAAGCAACTTTTTCCTGCGCCTGTTATTGCGCCTATCACATGACGTATAGCATTCATCTTTACGCATAGACTCGTTAACCCAATTCACTTTCACGCGAAGAAAAAAGCGCAAGCAAGCCTGTCAAGTTGAACATCCATCATGACATAGCTACTTTTCTAAGAACAACGAATGAAGAAACAGGAGGGAGAGAGAGAGACAGGGCTAGAAAATGTTCCATGTATACCTTGTGATTTTGCTGTTTATCTAAAAAATTGACCAGCGAATGATGGAAAGGGGAGAAGATAAGGCTTGAAAATGCTAACTTGTGAAGTTCCGCGATTCTATACATAAATCTGTTTTTAGCTTATGGCCAGTTGGCAGCAGTTTACTCCGACGCGGTAAGGACAAAAGACTGCAGTAACTGGAGCAGTTGGGGACCATGTGTTTGGCCTGATTCTCGTGGAACGGTACGTATTGCTTGTTATAGTAAGAGAATAGAAGAGTCAAAAACCCGGCTTTTATTAGTACTTCATACGAAAGCCAACAATCGAGATAAATCTATACGCACATAGTGCAGTATACAATCCCGCTGTACGAGCATACTGAGCCTACTTGAGATCTGATTAAAGGTCTCAAAAAAGCCATTGCCATAGCAGCAACTCATATGATGCACTTTGCCGAGAAATTCAGCTTCAGACTTTCGTTTGGTACAGTATTCTTTTCGAGCGCAACCATAGCAAATACGGTACTAGGCGAGTTAAGAGTTGAATTTCTCAGCTACGAATGAGTACTAAGAGCTGCCTCTTGGGCAATGGCTTAGTTGGGGGTCTCCCGGTCAGTGTCCACGTAAGAAATTCATAAAATGCCTTAACACCGGGTGATTGGCACTGTTCAGCTCCTTAGGGCTCAGCACCTTCCACTGCTTGTCCACAAACAACCCGATCCCGTATTTCCTGAAATGTTGTAAACGACCGTGCAAACTGGTCCCTACCTAGCGTGTCGCGACTACCCTTACTCGCGTACCTGATACAAGTGCAACTAGGACAATCTTACACAAACAGTATATTACATAAGTTTACTTTTGATAACACAAAAAACTACTGCATCAGACGTAGCACTAAAACTAACTAAGACTGCTGAACCTATACACCGCTTGGAGAGCCACGATATCTCTCGTTACCGCTAGTCCAAAAACCTTTACCAAACATACTCAGTGCTCCCCTCATGTCCGCCACACGACACCTGGTCCTTAGGCTCCCGCCAGAGTGCCGAAGCCATGCCAGCGCTACGTCAGCGCCGAGCCAGCGTTTCGATCGATACACGTGTACAGGGTGTCCCAAAAGTATGTACGAACGTTTGATCGTTAATATCTCTCTTCCCAAGAAGTCTTTTGCCTTGCTTCAAGTACCATTTTGTAGAGCTGGCTTCAACTTAGATTTGCATTAAAGAACGAATCACCCATCTCTCTTCATTACTGTAGGATTACGGTAGAAACTTGAAACATATGGTGTCAATGTGGAAAAAGCTGCAGTTCCAAAATTCTTCAAAAAATTGTGAAAACTTGTGTAATAGGGTTTTTATGGATGCTGAGTTCAATACTCAACTATTCACAAGATTACAAAGCTTTCTAAACGGTGTAATCGCACTTTTTAGGAACATTGAAAAAATGGCCGCTACCTCTTACCTGGCATAACTCCTCAATGAAGCATCATAATAAGTTGGGAACTTTACAGTTATAATCAGCAACTCTAATTAGCCTAGTGTGAAAACTTTCAGGCTGTTTTATTTCCTTTCTAAGGCAAAATATGGCCTTTCATTGCTTAAAACCCTCTTTGAAGTTTCTACCGTAATCCTACAGTAATGAAGAGGAATGAGTGATTCGTTCTATAATGCAAATCTAAGTTGAAGCTAGCTCTACAAAATGGTACTCGAAGCAAGGCAAAAGACTTCTTGGGAAGAGAGATATTAACGATCAAACGTTCGATACATACTTTTGGGACACCCTGTATTTCGTTGGGGATACCTACCTGCTGTGAACTAGGTCAGCTAGCCCCGCCCCAATGAAATACATGTGTATTGATCGAAACGTTGGCTCGGCGCTGGCGTAGCGCTGGCATGGCTTCGGCACTCTGGCGGGAGCCTTACGGAACGGTGATGCAACTTTGAGAATTTTGATACTATATGATAATCTACCGAGGTCTTTTTGGAACCTTTTGCTCATAACACGAGTCATTCATTTCTCATTCACCATCAAAAAAGTGATACCTTATTTCAGATGACATATCTGAAGCAGCTGACTCCAGTGTGTCAACTGCATTGGTTCTATACCTTTGTAAAACGCTACGATACGGTAAGCTGTCATACCAATAAATACTTTGTAGAATAAGAAAATTATTGTTTCAGGCTCTAAATAACTTCTACAACTATATGCAATTTGTACTACGCTCAAATAAACCATGTGGTTTATGTTCCTATAAACAAAGTTGTGGTTACGGTGGGAACAAGAAATGTAACAATAGCCCATTTACGTGAGTCTGAGAGGCTGCACTTCCACTATTGGCAAATTCACTACATTTTACAGAATCAAGGGAGGCAGACCGGTGATTCCGTTCTATGTAGCAGAAAGAGTCTGCTCAGCAAAAGATTTGCTTGGACACAGTCAGGTCGATGCCTGTGAGGTGGACTATGATCAGCTAAAGGTAGGATAAATTGGAATCTGCAAGCAGCCCGAAGCCCGAAAGTTTTTTAAACCTCAACGTACATATTCATAGACCTTGATCAGAAGAAAAGAGCCCAGTTTTACTGAATGTCCAATTAGCTGTGAAAAAGGCATGTACAAGTTTATCCGTAAGTACCACCAGAGTAGAGGTCTTTTCGATGATAAGGAAAAGAGAAAAAATAGAGGGAAATCATTTGCCAAAAAAAGACGAAGTAGATTTTTGTTGATAGATGAACACCATTTGTACAAGAACCTAAGAAATATAGGTTTGATACATTTACACTTCCTCATTTCCAGACTAGTGTCCAATCCAAATTCGAGCAATAAATTTGAAGTATTGGGTTGTTTCAAAAGTTCTACCCGTTTTCAACACCTTTTCTTGAACTGCCGATTTTGGAGGAAGAAACCATTTTTTACAAACAGTGCTTATATCATTCAAAAGCTCTTTTCTTCTAATTTTTCAGGCATATTTTCGTTTTCATGGATCTTTGTTCGCTCTGTGGTTGCGTACTTTGAAAAGACAGCAGCGAAACAAATGCGAAAATTTTCGTCTTTGCTCTATCGCCTGAAATTTACAGCCAAAAGAAAAAATTTCTTTTAGAATATACATAATGTTTGCTGGAGACTTGTGATACGAAACGCTCATCGAGATATGATTTCAGAAAAACTTTGAGGCAACAAATTTTTAGCTTAAACATAACCTGCCTTTATGGTCCCTTCGTGTCGCATAAAAATCATAAACATATTGCAATCGCATGACTTTTACTCTATACAGTAAGATTAGAGCTAGAACAACTGCTTCTAGAAGAACGAAAAGATTTCCTGGTTTCTCGACGGCGAACAAAATCAAAACGTCAAAGAATTGCATTTTTTGCTGCATCAGAAAGAGCAAAATAAGTGGGTCCTTTCGGATTTTTCAGCACATAATTTTTTTGAAAGAGTTTGATGAAATCCAAGTTAGCGCTACTGCTCCATCGACTATGGGCTACACTGTGAGCAGTTCCTGTGCAACTCATTGTCAGCTATATTCCAAATCAAGTTATACTTTTGCAAAGTGAAGGTTTCTACGAGAAGATGTTCCTCGATTTTCGCCTATAAAATCTTCTCCACTGTTACTGCAATAATGAGTGCACAGAATAGCCAAGGATTTTAGCAGGCAAGTTGCAAAACCCGTCGACATCAAAAAAAGTTAATTTTCACAATATGAAGCAATATATTTACATTTATTGGCACTGAACCACCGTCTAACCTAAAAACACTCGTTTTTAGCCTTTTTCATTGAATTTTTTTATTTCGTTGATTAACATATTGTGCATGAAAAAATCGATGAAGACGCCATTTTTGACAGGATAGCTGCTCCTCTCTATGTTAAGCACGAATTCGGATCTTTTCAATGTAAAATTGAGTAAAGTTTTTAACGAAAAAGGCTAAAAACGAGTGTTTTTTAGGTTAGACGGTGTTTCAGTGCTAATAAATGCAAATATATTGCTTCAAATTGTAAAAATTTTACTTTTTTTAAACGTAGACAGGTTTTGCAATCTGCCTGCTAAGATTTACAAAAATGCAAAACGAGTGGCCTCCCAGAGGAATCGAACCCACGACGTCCGCAGTTCAAGCCACTATCCACTGCACCAAAAATCCTTTATAACTCCTCCAGAATGACGTCATAGCAGATATGGAATGCGGTTTAGAGATCACCGCTTGGGGACGGTATACGCGGTATACACCGCTTACCCCGTCAATGCGATTAAGTATCCTTTCCTTGTAAGTTCAATCTATTTTTCAATAATGACCCCATTTTTTATCAACAGTTCCATGAATGAGCTGCAACATTATGAAGGTGATTGTGTTTGATAAACCCCTTAGGTTTCCCCAAACTAAAAGGTGGGCTTTTATTCCGTCATCAAACAGACGAAACAATCGGCAGCCAGGTACTTCAAGCCATCATTTATATTCTTCCGCGGCTAAATCCACATGGCAGAAACAATGTGAAGAGAAGGATTTCTTCAAATTATCGCTAAAGCTACCAAAATGTTTGGATAAAGTTTGGAAGTTTTACATTATAAAGAGCCCTGAACAGCTTTCGAGTCATTTCAAATGCTCACGTATAGGCTCTTGCATGACGAAAGCACAGCACATCTTTGAGCGCGAACGAGGCTTTATTAGCCGCAGAGCGCAAGAAGCGCAGGTTTTACAGGGTGAAGAATACGTGCGGCGAGTTCGCGCCCGTTCAGCTGATACTGCTTCTGCGTCTTCGCCCTGCAGTAGCCTTTACCTCACCGGAAAGATTTTGAAAAAACATGCCGAACTGGCCCCAAACGTGTAAACCCATTGACGACGACGCCTAATTTTGCGTGGCGGCGCTGTGGGACGACGCGGTTTTGCACAACAATTGCGGCGCGAGAAAGTTTTGTGATGGGTGGAGGAACGAACACCTCAATTAGGCGCCGCCCCCGCGGACCACTGGTCTTAACACGATGCACGACAGCAGGACGAAAGGACCAGCAGCCCGCGGAGGCGATGCCTAATTGAGGCGTTCGTTCCTCTACCCTTTTGTGATTATTTACGAAATGTAAAAATGTACTGTAAACACTACAGCCATTTTCTTAAACGACGAAGTGTACAGGTTCCAAAAGTGCAAAAAACTGGAAAAAATGGTGAACTCTGGGAAAAATACTTGACCTGGAAAAAATATGATTTTGCAAGGTGTGTGGGCCACCGGTGGTCCACATCGTCCCTGGAGGCAAAAAGTGCGTGGGCCACCGGTGGTCCACATCGTCGTCAACGGGTTAATTGTTATCTTGACACGTTACGAGACAATTCTCACAGAAAGTATGAAAAAGTCTGGGCCGAAGCACGTTTTTTATAAGGACATTTTGAAAAGTCGGGTCCGGATAACCGTAAAGTATTGAATTTGAAATACCCTAATTTCACGCATATAAGGCGCGGGGGATTTTTTTTTCCAAAATCGACCAGCCCAGACACGCCAAAGGACTTTACAACCAAAGGACCCTATAACGTGCTGTATATTGCTTAAGAAATCGTGCGGTATAAGGATCTCTTTCCGGACTACAGTGAAGCGGCTGAGCGGCTCGCTTGAAAAATCGAAAAAGTGCGCCTTATACGCGTGAAATTAGGGTAAATTTATTTTGCTAAAGAGATGAGTCACGCACGGGCTGAGTGAAGGAAGAGAGGAACTCCTTGTTTTTTTCTTCCGTCTTGAACGTTCATATCAACCAATTAGCGTACTCAAAAATCAACAATTTTCAACTTTTCTCATTACCGTTTCCTCACTATTCTCACCTGCATCAGCTAATAAATTTTGCCTAAAGTGAACTGGTGTAATAAAACTTTGAATCTGAATATCTTACGTTATAGGAAAATGGAGGCGAATGTCGTTTATGGCCATCTTCACGCGTGGACCTATCGACAGTAGAGCCAATGTTCCGGCAGCACATATTGACACTCGACTGGTACACTTGTTTACCTCAAACGAAGTGAGATTTTTTTGCATGTATTGTGTGAGCACGAAGTACGCAGCTTTGCGGATTGTAATGCAGTAGTCAATTTGCTCCCTATTTGGCGCTAACTATCCCATGTTCCTTATGTGCATGCAGTCGTACTTAGTGACTTGCCCGTAAGTACAATATATTGATGTTTACCGCGTTCAGGATAACCCACGTCAACGAAACCAGCACAGTCAAGGAAAAAGTCTGCCGTTGCTGCTGTTTCCCCTTTCAACCAAATCCAAAGACATTCAAGTGCGAGCACATCAAAGGCGCACCACCAGCTCCTGGCATGGAATTCTTGCGAAAAGAGTTGAACGGCGTTGAATAATTTATTGAAATTTTCCCACTCGTCTTTATGATAACTATTATACATTGAAGATATTCCACTGCAGCGCTGAAGATGGCTTTAGGCATTTATTTGTAAAGTTGTGATAATAACAGTTATTGTGTATCAATATTGTCACGCAAGCACTTGAACTCTCAGACACTCTGGTGGAACTCGGAGTGGCATCCAGGCGTTTGACGAAATCTTTGATAGAGAACATTCTCCTCGGCGATCGGCGCGTCCTACGTATTCTTTACTTTCTTCTCGACCGGTGATCTGACCAAGCTCCGCGTGAAGAAATGAAATACTGCAAGCTGGTTCCTTATTATTATCATCCTCTATAGAGCACCGAGAAGATGTGCAGGTCGCGCCGCTTTCCTGGTCCCGCCGCGATACCGAGTGAGCATTAAAATTATACAAAACTCGATGTAAAAAATATTGAAGTAAACAAAACGATTAAATCAGTAAACAAGGCACTTTATAATAAGCACTAAAGTAGGAAGATCATAACCAGGTGAAAGCACTATTAGCAGGCAAATCATTCAAAGGACTTCAAAGGCCGGTAAGTATGGGCGATACAACATATGATATATCTTTTTTTCTGAAATATTCTATTATGGCGGCTAATATGCCTGTAGCTTATGGACAGTCTCTATATTAAGATATGTGATAATCACGCGAACTGAAATCTTCTGATGCAAGCGGGACTCCTAAGTCCACTTCCTATCAAGGCTGCGGCGCGTTCAGTTGACACCATATTTATAGTACCGTATCTCACTTTGGAGAGAATTTTTTGCTATTACAGCACTGTGTTATTCCTCGGACTGTGCTCTACAAAACCTCAGGCCTTAGAATTTATTCGATTAATAATCGGGTTATTTCAACGGATTTGCAAAGGATACATTCTTCAAGTAGCATTTTTGGCGCATCAACTTCAAGTTGAGCTGCTGAAATCTGTATGCATGTGCAGGACTCCAGTCTCGCAGGCACAGGTGCGATAGTGTGAGAATTAAGTAAAGGCTTTTTTACCATTGTGAAAAGACGTCTACTTGAGCACTCCCATTAAAAAGTCTCAACCATCCTTCACCCCGCACTTTTTTTAACGGACCATGGGCAGAGTATATACTCGAGTCATTTGTAACTTAATATGTGAGTTTGCACACCATGCACGGCAACCGACGGCAACCTTAGTAGTAACTCCTCACTGAAACCATTTCTAGCGTAACGAAGTATAGATATTTATTTTGCTAACTAGTATATAACCATCAAATCAAAGGGGCAAGGAACAAGGAGAATTCACTAGAAATGATCAGGTCCTAATCTTGTAAGTTCGTCAAGTAAGTCGCACTATGTGCATTACACATATTAAGTTGCAAATGACTCGAGAATATATTTTCTGAAAGCGGAGGACGAGAAGGTTCCAATGGTGACTATCACGGCGCACAAGATGTTCATCTGCAAAAGTTATGAATTTTTTTTACGTTAAAAACTCAAAAATCTCCAGAAATCACTAGGACACCCTTCACCCAGGCACTTTTTTGAGTGGATCTCAGACGTGCTGTGTAATTTCTGAAAGCGGAGGACAAGGCGGTTTCAGTGGTGACCATGTCGGCGTAAAGGATGCTCCCTACAAAAGTTACGGATTTTTTTATCCTAAAAACTCGTAAACCTCCAGAAATCACTACTACATTTTTCACCAGAAACTTTTCCAATAGACTCCAGGCAAACTATATATTCTCTGAAAGCGTAGGACAAGATGGTTTCAAAGACAATTGCCTTGCTGACGTTGCTGTTTATCCACACAAATTACAAATCTTTTCTTTCAGAAAATTCGCAAATGCTTAAAAACTTTTCAACTCTTTCCGAAACAAATCTTCTCGCATTCACATCTTTTATGGTAATTTTAAAAACAGGCAGGGTGATGTAAAAAAGGGAGAAGGAAATGTAAAAAAAAATACAAGATGCTAATCAGAAATATAATTGTGCGCTAATCAAGCAGCATATCGATTCACATTTCAAAAAAAGACAACCAGTGATGGCAAGGAATTGAAAATTATAAACTTTGACCAGGAAAAATGGTGAGAGAACATCATGGCTCCCCCGCCCCCCGACATTTTATAATTTCTCTACCAAGTGAAACACCCTTCACCCGGAGGGGCTGCGACCAATGTAACCCCCTTCACTCTGGAAGGATCATTCTCACCTTATCGCACCTATGTCGGTCCCCGCGGTCATTTGCAACAAACACACACCTTTGCATATGCACGAATGCGTTTCTGCGAGAAATCTACGCGGGACCCTTCACATCCGGCGACATATAGTCCTCTACCGCTATGTGATTGCAATGTTCGCAGTTCGGCGCCTATTTTTTTCATGAGCTAAAAAAGCTTTTGCTTTACAAATTTGCTTAGGTCCGGCTGGTTGTTTTCTGCTGTTTGCGTGTTTGATTTCGCTGGAACCTTAGAGAGAGTTTCCGTTGCATTTTCTTACCTAGTGATATGTTATTAATGTAATTAGTATTTGTCTAGTAGCTTAACGAGTACGTGATTAACTTATCAAGTTCACGTTTTTTGTTTCAGGTTTTTTCCATTGTGCCGTCTCAAACACTGGGAATGGACGAGCCGTGGCCCTTAGTTACTACTGCGGGAGTTTCCACATTCTCTGGGCTAGCTAGCCGAGGAATAGGCGGTTGCAGTGAACTTAGGGTCTCCGGCCAAATTGAATTGAGGATCTCTGCTCGCTTATTGTACTCTAGTGTTACTGGATCAAAAGGGCGCGGATAGGTGGCATTACGGCTGCCCCAAATTTCTTCATTAACTGAAAATCCGCCGCTCATGCGTGTTCAGAGTCTGAGATGTGAGGAATGTATGATTATAGCACGTACTTTTCTAGCTGCTTCGGCTGCAGTGGTGAGATTCGAATGAACCCTACTGCAATATAAGCTACCTTGAGAAGCTACCTTAGGGTAGAATTTACCTCAAGGTATAATTTCGTATTCATCAAAATTTATCTCTCAAGATCAAAATAGCCTGTGCCAGCATAATAAACACTGACGTTTTCTCAGAGAAGGGCATGGCGTACTTGCGGTGAATTGCTTTTTTTCATATCTGCATGGGATTTACTCGAGGATATTTATGTCTTTAGATTTTGAAAGGCTACAGTTGGTGAATTGAAGAGGATAGGGTCTACATAATCAACCATTTTAGGTTTCAAAACTTTCGGGAAATTATCTGCTTCTAAGTACAATCTACTTGAATTGGAAAAAATTTTCTGCTGCGATGCCTATCTGCCTGAAGAATGTTGTGCTCGTTCGGCATCGAACATTCCCCATATTTTTGACATGCTTCATAATACTGTTTTCGCAAACAGTCACCATTAGGATTTGCCTAGTTTATTGATGAGCTTAGAGCTGTTTCATACTGCATTCGCTGCAGCCAGTAGTCTGCAGCAGTGACAGCCAATCGACTGCTGTATGAAACAATCCTTAGACGATAACAGTTTTTTTTCAAGTCCTTCTGAGTGTAAGGAGGACGCGCGTCCAAATTACGGAAACATGATTTTATCAAGACATTTGAAATTTTGAAATGTTTGTGAAACGCTTTGTGAAGATTCCGATGCTTGCATTGCAAACTTATACATCAGAGGCAACGTGTGAGTCGAAGTTGAATGGATGAACAAAGTAAATAAAGAGCTAAATGTTAGAATTTTCTTGCCAAGCTAGTAAACTTTCTTTCTTTTTTCGGATTCTTAGAGTCGAACCTTATTATCTGTTGAAGTGCTGGCCCACATATTCCTGAGTGATATAACTTTACTTGGATTTGAGTTGGCAACTAAATAAGGCTAAAGAGTTGCGTTACACAAACGTCAACACTGGCTTTTCTTGAATACAGAGCTTGCAAAGCGATTGTTTTTGGGTCATACAATTTTAGGCCTGTGGTTTCAGTGTGCTATGCTCAAAATACTGTTTGATAGGGTCTATGATGCTCAAAATGCTGTTGGAGCAAATAAAGAGGTGTTTGACTTTCTCTGGTTCGGTACATCAGTTTCACAGGAGTTTCAAAACATTCACAGCATATCCATAGGATTAGAGAGAAGTGTAGTAACGATTTCTTTACATGTCTATAACTCTAGCTAATTAATCTCAACGAAAATAGACAAAATTGCAGCAAGGGGTTCAGTTTTGCCGCTGCAGTGTTCATGTGAAAAATGAGCCTCTAAAACCGTGTAGATTTCTGAGGGTATCACTCGTAAGCTTGCCTTCTGCTTGGGTAAAAGTTCCTATTGTAAATTTACCTCAAGGTAAAGGCATCAAGTTTGATGAATACGGATTTATCGTTGATAAGGCTACCTTGAGATAGAATTTCCCTCAAGGTATCATCCATTCTACATGAAATCATTTTCAGGTTGATTTAACCTTGAGCATTTACCTCAAGGTACATTGATGAATACAGGTTTTGAGTGATAATCTTACCTTAAGGTTCATTTTACCTCAAGGTAGCAGTGATGAATGCGGCCTCAGGATCAATGGGGGCGGAGTTTGTCATTTTTCAAGTACCTCGTTTTCCTTGTTGTTTAAGCTCAAATTCTATGCAAACTTTGCATGTATGTGTGTAAGCATGTGTATACTATAAACTAGATCATGTGGGGGTTCAATAAGGTTTATAGAAGCTGGAGATCTGGGTTGTCTTAAAATCCTATGCTCTTGAATTTTCGCCTAAATTTCCACAGAAAACATTAGTAGTGCTCGCGCGTAACACATCTTTGTGGAGATTGCATTCCGCTATCCAACGGCATGCCCAATCACTGTTTACATCGAAACAAAAACTTTGTTGAAATGCAATATCCAAGAACTTTCTTTTTAACCTAGTATGATTCAATAAATGGTTGATAAATAAAAAAAATCATAAATAAAGACACGCTTTTGACCATGTTCGAGCTTCCCCTCTCTTCTTACATTTGCATGCCACAATAAACTACCTTAATCCAAAGCCGAAAATTGAGAAATAGTTTCTCGAATCCTTCCCTACACCAACCTTCTCTCGATCTTGCACAATGAAGTGAAACCTAACAAAATGGTGTTTATTGAAAACAAAAAACAATGGCCTCATGCACATGCCAATGCGAAGTGTGGTCATTTCTTCTAGTTCTCTACTCTGGCATCGTCAACTTCTAAAGGGCGTAGACAGGTGGATGCCCTGGTGACCCTCAGCACAATGATACATAACCCTCTTAGTGAGCATGTGGCTGCAATTACTAACAGCCGTCACGATAGCAGTGCTTTGTTCAATTATGTTCTGCGGTAAAAAGAAGAAAGCAACGCAGTCGGCGGAGAGGGTACAGAAACCCGAAGAAAAATCTCAGGAGACAATGGAGAAACCCACAGCGGAGGAAAAGAAGTCCGCGGAAGTTGGTGGTTACGTTGATGGCGTTTGCAATAATGTTACTCAGAGCGTGTATTTCAGCTTAATAAACTTCAGCCTCAATCTGCCACTTCGTTTTCTCGATCTACACCAACTCCCGCAGCTGCACCACCTCCTCCGCCACCGCCTCCGCCGGCAGCACCGCCACCACCGCCACCACCACCTGCAAATGCACCTCCCGCACCCCCGGCACCTGTTCCGCTTCCAGTTCCGGAAGGGGTATGTCGCTTAACACAACAAGTTGTTTGATTTTATCCTTCTTTTAGGGTGATGACGTTGGGTACGAAATGTGTCCAGATATGACACCTGAAGAATTGGCAAAGGTCATACCCAAGTGAATGATGTTTCGAAGAGTTGTAGATATGAAGCAATAACGACTGATTTATGTTTAATAAATCGTAAAGAGAGTGTATTGAATGTAGGTGACAGCCATAAATACAAACGTTTAACATAAAAACGCGTTGTTCGGTAATCTACAAGAAAATGCAACTGTTAAAAATGTGAAAAATGCGCCGATGTAATCACGAATAAACTCATTTGATGAAGAGTCGTTCTGAATAAAACGGCAATTGTTTCTGTACCTCGTCTGTATTAAACAAGATCTTTTGGTTGTTCGATGATGACGGTGTTTTGGGGGGCGAGCAAAAGACTTTTTGAAGAAATCCGTCGCTATCGCTTCCATCTTTTATTAAAATAGTATCGATAAGTCGTCTTCATTTAACGCTGTCAGCAAAATAATAAATCCGCTCAAGGTTTTCTCGAACTTTGTCTCTCTGCGCTTGCTAACAGAATTTTTCCTTTGCTTGCACTGTCGTGCAGGGCGATTTTGTCTACCTGTCGCTTTAGATAGAAAGCTATGGAAAAGAGGAAAAAGTAGTACTGTATTCTGTAAGGTTTACTCTATCGAACTCTGACTTGAACTCCTTCTGAGGACTGATATGAAAGTTTTAAAAAATTGTGAAATTTGACCATCTCAAAAAGCATGGGTCGAAGATTTTGGTTATTTTCTGAAAGCTCATTGACTGTTTTGCAACAGTTTCATAACCATTAGAAAGGGAATGAAATTCTGCATCGAATGCCTCCAAGATCTCTCAGAAACCTTTGTTCCGTCAAATGTGGTGCCCGTTCGAAAAAAGCGAAATTACTTTTGAAACGACCTAATATACAGGGTGTCCCAAAAAAAAAATGTATCGAACGTTTGATCGTTAATATCTCTCTTCCCAAGAAGCCTTTTGCCTTGCTTCAGGTACCGTTTTGTAGAGCTGGCTTCAACTTAGATTTGCATTATAGAACGAATCACCCATCTCTCTTCTTTACTGTAGGATTACTGTAGAAACTTGAGAAACATATGGTGTCAATGTGGAAAAAGCTGCCGTTTCAAAATTTTTCAAAAAATTGTGAAAACTTGTGTAATAGGGTTTTTATGGACGCTGAGTTCAATACTCAACTATTCACAAGATTACGAAGCTTTCTAAATGATGTAATCGCACGTTTTAGGAACATTGAAAAAATGGCCGCTACCTCTTACCTGGCATAACTCTTCAATGAAGCATCATAATAAGTTGGGAACTTTACAATTATAATCAGCAACTTTAATTAGCCTAGTGTAAAAGCTTTCAGGCTGTTTTATTTCCTCTCTGAGGCAAAATATGGCCTTTCATTGCTTAAAACCCTTTTTGAAGTTTCTACCGTAATCCTACAGTAATGAAGAGAAATGAGTGTTTCGTTCTATATTGCAAATCTAAGTTGAAGCCAGCTCTACAAAACGGTACCTGATGCAAGGCAAAAGACTTCTTGGGGAGTGAGATATTAACGATCAAACGTTCGATACATTTTTTCGGGATATCCTCCTGTATATTATAGTTAGAACCGAATATTCGTGTTCGAATAATTTATTCGAAATATTCGACTATTCGAATATTCGAATAGTCGAATATTCAAAACAGTCCAATTATTCAGTAATTCGAATAGTCGAATAAATGAAAAAGGCCTGTATTCGAATAATTCGTTCATTCGATGATTTGGAAAAATGAATTATTCGAATATTCGTTTATTCGAGGAATTTCAAAAGACGGTTATTCGAATATTCGAATATTCGAGCCAACTTGAAAGACAGTCATTCGAAAATTCGAATATTTAAGAGCATTCATTCGAACATTCGATGTCAACAGAAAACTTTAACTGTTCTACACTGAGTAAAAGTATGTCCCCAATCGGTCAATCACACAAATGAATTATCAAATAACAAAATGGCTAGCAAGCTTCCCTTTTGAAGCATGAGTCGCGAGTCATGCCAGAGCATAGTGATGACAAGCCCTTTACATAATTCATTTGGAGTGGTGAACTATCTTCTGGAAATCGCGTCTGAGAAGTTGAGACGCGTAATCACGCGCAGATACCTCCAAGCTCTAAATTGGGTGAAGAAGCAAAGCCATCATTAGGCGCCCAACGCACCACTGGTCCTCAAACAGCTTGCATAAGCATGTGAAGGACCAGCAGTTTTAAGGCGGCAGGTATAGGCAACATTCATTCCTTCATCTCGAGGTCTTCATTTGCCTTGCCAGCCTCACCGCGCGTGTCAAAATACCTTAAAGATACGTTACAACGCAAGGCCAGAGCAAGGCGGTCGTGAGGACCTGAGCCGCTTGACTTGTGGCGGCAGCCTATATGTCAGTCATTATACTCAAATCAGCTGCCCTTATAGTCAGGAGGCGTAGAAAACTAATGTTAGAATTACATGCCTACATGAAGTACGCGTGTAGGCGCCTACTCGAAGTATTGCTCCCCTACGAACTTTGCATCATTGCTAATACTACTCCGAGTAGGCGTGTAGGTTGAACAATAATTATTTTGAACCTGAGTAAAAGATATGGAAGATCCCTTACAACAAAAGTACAAACCTCAAAAATGCAACTAAAACAAATTTGTGAGAATTCAATCCTACACCAGAAACTGTGAAACTCGGGGATTGATAATTCCCGACAAGTATTAGATTATCAGCTAATATACAGATATTTCCACGAGTTTTCTTTTTCTGGATTTAGATGAGCACAGAAGTATTAGATTATCCTGGAAGTTTTGTCCGTTTTTTTTCATCGCTCACTAGAACTCACAGAACACCGATCCATGATCAACTTAGGTACGATTTGATACAGATTTTTATCTTCTTTCTTATAGCTGTATTTGCTCTCTGATCTACTCTGTCTTTGCAATGTTATCGCCACGGCTTCCTGAGCAGCTCAGAAGTAACGCCAAATTTTTACTGAGTTTTAAAAAATTTTATACTGATGTTTTCAAAGAGCGCTGATGAATGTCATGTAGAGCAAGCCTTTAGCTACATTGTACCCTTTTTATTAGGTTGTCCGGAAATTAATGCAGGTTTTGAATTCCAACCGCGATAAGTCATACACTTCTCATTTCTAAGTAGGTTGCAAGGTACCGTTCGATAGAGCAAAGCAAGCTCTACAAGATGGCAGTCATGATTTAGCAACAGCTCCAATCCACCACGTTTCGAGCCAAAAACTAAAAAGATTTAAATACCCAAAAAATTGAGAAAAATCGTAACTCAGTTCATAAAAATTCTATAAAAATTCTAACTCGCTCACGTAAACACTGTCCACATAAGACGTATATGTACGCCGTTGCAGTATATTTTTCCCGGTTAGAAACCAAAAAAACGAAGATTTTTATGTTTTTGCCAAAGTGATCCTGTGCCGTTCCCACATGAGTAGTTGTATACTACAAACCTGTAAAAGTACAAACGTAAATTTCCAGCTCTCTACAAGCTTTAGTTCTCGAGAAATTCGAATTTTAGCTTGAACCACATGACTAGGAAAACTGTATTCGATATTTCTCGAGAACTAAAGCTTGTAGAGAGCTGAAAATTTACGTTTGTACTTCTACAGGTTTGTAGTATACAACTACTCATGTGGGAACGGCACAGGATCACTTTGGCAGAAACATGAAAATCTTCGTTTTTTGGTTTCTAACCGAGAAAAAAATACGGCAACGGCGTACATATACGTCTTATGTGGACAGCGTTTACGTGAGCGAGTTAGAATTTTTATAGGATTTTTATGAACTGAATTACGATTTTTCTCAATTTTTCGGGTAGTTAAATCTTTTTAGTTTTTGGCTCGAAACTCGTGGTGGATTGGAGCTGTTGCTAAATCATGACTGCCATCTTGTAGAGCTTGCTTTGCTCTATCGAACGGTACCTTGCAACTTACTTAGAAATGAGAAGTGTATGACTTATTGCGGTTGGAATTCAAAACCTGCATTAATTTCCGGACAACCTAATAGATTACATGGGCCATGTTTACCAAGCTCGTTATAATTATTTGTTTGATGAAAACTGCGCCTTTTTGATTACGTTTACCACGTAAAAGTACCGAAAATTCCAAAAAGCTACTTTTCAAAGCAAATCAAACTTGCTTATGTAGCGTAAATAATGTTTGATAAGAACCATATTTCAATTCGCAGAAGTTTCAAAAGCTTTCGTGTATTTGCTGCAGTTGCGTGTTTCATGACTTTGCCAGAAATCGAGACTTCCGAAGATATAATGTTTTTTAAGTTAAAACAGCAAATTAAGAGAATCTGAAATAATACCCTGTATTCCGAGAATTGCTCTGTTTGATCCATATTAGTCCTTTCCGAAACTTTGAAATGAAATTCAAAAAAAGTAGCCTAACTTTGAGCAGATAAAATTGACGGATGGAGAATTTTGGCAATTGTCAAAGAAAGCATACAAGATTGTAGTTCGAAAGTGTATTCTTAAAAAAAGGGAAGGAAAAGCTGCATCGAATGCTGAAACTCATTCAGGTCTTTATTGTGCGTGGTTTGGTACTAATTTGAAAAAACGGACAAAACTTTTGGTACAACAGCAGAGGTTCATATATTCTATTACTGTAGGCCTTCCTCGTGCTCCTCCAGTGCTAGTCTTAGAACTAGCGCAATGCTGACCATTACCATTAAATTACAAAGAACTACCTAATGTAAAATGTTTTCCATGTTAAATCTTCAGCTTTGGGAAAAAGTTCTGTGTAGCTTCGGGAGAAACTTCTGAGGAAAAATAAATGCGGATTTGAAACGATTACTAAGTAAGTCTTAGTAGTCATCTTAAAAGACCATGAACACCTCGAACTACATGTTTGGGTGAAGTTCTTCTGTTTCCTAAGTGGAGCCCTGACCAACGACAATAACGAAGTCTTCCTACCACTTGCTACACATATAATTATCAGCTACAAAGATCAAATTAGCGATTGATTTTTTGCAGAAAACCGCAACAAAGAAAAAACCAGCATTGTTTTGAGGTGTTAGATTATTCGAATTGTTCGAATAGTCGAATATTCGACCATATGTAATTATTCGATTATTCGAATAGTCGAATATTCGACTATATGTAATTATTCGATTATTCGAATAGTCGAATGCTCGACCAACCCCATTTATTCGAATATTCGTTCATTCGAATTTTGAAATGTAGCATTATTCGAATATTCGAATTCGAATAATCTGAAAATTACAGATCGAATAATATTCGTTCGTTCGAATATTTTTCAAAAGCCGATTATTCGAAATTCATTCGTTCGACGAATTTTTTCGGTCGTTCTAACTATACTGTATATATAAAACTCAAAAATTGTCAGTTTGGAGGGTATGTGCGTTATAGAAACGCGCACCGCTCAACCATTCAGCTGAAACTTTGCACACATATGTTTTCGACCCCTGCGCAGATGATAGGCTACTTTTCGCAGCGATTCGTTGAGTCCTTCTATCGATTTATTGATTTGTTTACGTTTTTTAAGGAATTGAGTGCTTATCATGTTTAATCAAGCATTTTACCATAGTCTGTAAAGTAGGGCGGTGAAGCTCATTTTCACCTCAGGATCACGAGGATACGGTTTCGAAGGGGGTTCCAGGGTAAGTCATCCACAACATATAAGAAGGGGGGGGGGGCTCGCAGTGTATATAGGTGAACAATGGCCCGGGCTGGACCGGGAAAGCCAACTAGTTAACTCTAAATGCAAGTTGCTTTGCAACCAGAAACGATGGTCAACATAAACTCGCTTGAGCGGAGTATGATCATTTCTCCTAGTTCTTTATCCTAGCATCGTCGACTGGCTGAAAGGACGCTTGGAGTTGGAATGTCTTCGGAGGCCTCCACCGTGCTTAATTTACCTCATTGCAGAAGTGAATATGTGGTTGTATCTGGTAACTACCGCCACAGTAGCCGCGCTCTGTTTGATTGTTAATTGCGGTAAGAAGAAGAAACCAGCGCAATCGGCCGAACGAATCCCGAGAAAAGAATCCAAAGAAACAATGGAGAAACTCACGGCTGAATCCGACAAGAAGTCTGTTGAGGTTGGCGTTTATTGTCACGGTTAATTACAAAGCTACACAAAAAAAAAGTTTTTAGCCCAACGTGCTTCAACATCAAGTTGCTGTCGCACCTCCTCAGGTCGCACATGCTCCAGCACCTCCTCATCCACCGCCTCCACCTCTACCACCAGCAGCGCAACCTACACGTCCGGCACCACCGCAACCAGTCCCATTGCCACTTCCTGAAGGGGTATGTCACTTAGCTTGATAGTTGGGTAGTACTTTATGATTTTCAGGGTGATGACGTCGGATATGAAATGTGCCCAGATATGACACCGGAAGAATTGGCAAAGGTCATACCGAAGTAGATGATTTTTTCGAAGAGTTGTAGAGATAAAGCAATAACGATCGCGTTGTGTTAAATAAAGCGCATAGATTGTGTAGTGTTGTGCCATGTTGTCATCATGAATCCCCAGGTGGTTTGAATGACATTACCGCAGCGAACCACAATTTGTGCAAAAGCAAACCCCTAAATTAGTATATAGCGCATAATTAGGAGAGCAGCTGCTGATCAGTTGATTTGAGCAATTTACGCTGGAACATTCATTGCACAAAGGCATTTGTGAAATAAATGTTTGTAAGGTGTAAGGTGAGCCTTTCAAGCACGAAGCCTTGCATTGCGAGAGACTCAGGAAGTCACTATTGGGTGGGAAAGGTTCACGTCCATGCTCTGCTTTGACCTCAATCGACCCTACTGTTAAAGTAACAATAAGGAAAGCTAAATCAAAGCAATTTGACTGCTTTAAGTAGTGAGAGTTAAGAGCAATTCAAGAATCAAAGACACAGTATTGAAACAGAAAGCACCGGACAACATATACGTCAATTCATTAAAGTGTCCCGGCAGATTCGCACCCTAGGGGATGTAGCTGCAATGGGGTTCCTGGTCACCTCACTAAACCTCCAGGAACATTCCGGCTGGTTAATGTCCCCTCCCCCCTCGGACGACTTCTCTTACGCGTTCGGCGCGAGACCCCGCCACGACCCTCCGCATTGTGCATGCTGTCAATAGTAAAAATTACAGGGCAGGTCCTCGTGCCGGGGCCTCCCGATTTTTCATTGAAATTCTCGTCCAAGCTGCCTTCTGAAAGTTGAGTAAACACCCCGAAAAATGTTTTTTCACCCACTTCAAAGCTCAAATTCGGGGTCTACGGGTCGAAAAGGCCCAGAACATGCGAAAAGATGGAAGTGCAAAATTTGCCGAGACACTGCCTTTGAAGGCACCGCTCCGTCAAGAACAGTAAACTAATGATTACTTGCTTATCTGGTGATCCATTCCGTTCATTCTAAAAAATGTAGCCTGGAGAGCGCAAAACTGCCGGAAACATATGGATGTGTGGATCAAAGCCCGCTAAGGTAGAGTCGTTGTAGCACGTCTCGATCGTAACTGTGTACGGAGATGGAGGACAAACTCCACAGTATACGAACTCGATGTTCGTATTGTTCCTTGAGCCGCGGAGAATGTGATAGAAGAAATAATAACATCATTTGCAGCTTATCAGTAGCTTTACAGACCTGACGACCTTTGTTTATAATTCCGACGCTTTCGATATATAAGTCGATAATAAGACACAGCAAGTTCAATGTACGCGTATAACATTTATTTTCCTATTTTCTTATTCTGATTTTTTCTCTTGTTCCTCTTATTCTTCTTATTTGTTTGTTTGTTGCCCGTTTCGCAGATCACAGACCTTTTGCATAAACTACACAGCCACAGACCCCAAAGGTTACTTTTGCAATGATAAAGCTTTACTGAACACAGTGCTTGCTCATTTTCTACTTATTCACAGTCCTATTATTTTGATGCTTCTCTTCTGCATATAAAGTGTCACAGTATTGAACATCCTTTTGCCTGCACTGTTTTTAGTCGTAGTGGCTTCGATTGGTTTGCCTTGTTCTCACAGTCTTTTTGCTTTGTTCTCACAGTCTTGATGCTTTTGCCACAGATCAAATCATTTACATCTCTTTAGGTTAGTCTAGGCTTAGGTCCTTTAGTTGCCTTTAGATTAGTTATGTTTAGTTTATTTTTAATGTTTCGTTAACGCATATTGTTGTTTAGCTTCCTAGTAATAAAGTTTAATTACCCAAGTATGAGGTTGCTCTCAACTCGTGCGTACGTGCAAGTGTAAGTCCCGCGTGGCAGCAAGTTGTGTTACAGCCCCCCGATAAGCAAATTACACAGCTAGTCGTTGTCTCCGCGAACTACTGGTCTTTTACACGTCTGCAGCATATCATGTGAGGACCACTAGTCCGCAGGCGGTGCCTAATGGCAGAACCGGGTTGGGGATGAACTCCGCCATTTGGGCAGCTATCGAAGGCAAGTACTCCTTTTTTGAAGCGCGACCGATACAACTGAAAATGCAAACCGAGCGAAAGGCGAGAGGACAAAGCTCTAAGAAGTTCGGACGTGGTCAATCTGAAAAGCGGCCTCCTTTCTTCTGTGCCTGCGCTTCCAATTTTGTCTCCGCGAGTACTATTAGGTTAGAGGCTAAATTTTGGCTTTTCCAATAACTTTCTTCTCCTTCAATATGACGCATTTAAATTTTGCAATAACTTAGGTTATTACAAAAGCCACAAGCGCAGCTGCTGTTCTGTCAAATTCTGACGTTGCAGTGAGGACTACGATAAGTATCCTACTATAATAACGCGCTAAGAGTGTCTACGTGTTTATGTGTGTGTGTGTGTGTGTGTGTCTGAATGTCTGTCTGTCACGAAATTCGTAGAGCGTGTTCCAGCCAACGTCCTGGGCTCAAATTTTGCATAGCACTTGCTACTGGCATGAAAGTCCAACATGCAAAAGAACAAACAGATTCGTTGGGTGGTTCTCTTGAAAATTGCGCGTCAAACGGATCCGCTTTGCATTTGGCCCACAAAATTGGGTCCGTAATTCCACTTTTTGCAGAATGGTGGGTGTTTATGGCAAGTAAATGTGCAAGCCATGAACTTAGGCCCAAATAAGTGACCAAAAGTCCATCACTTTACAAAAACGGCGCCAAAAAGTATTGCTTGCGTAAATGGTCAATTTGCCAAGGTTCTAAAAAAGCATTTGAGAAGATTTTCGCACAGAGATGTAGCTCACGGTGACTATTGTCTTTAGGCGACTATCAAACCATGACAAATTCAAAAACCTATTCAAATTTGCCTTTGTCTTCCTGCGAAAAGTATTTTCCATGCGAAATCACCGATCTCACGTGAAAAAGCTTTCTAAATGAGTAGTTTGTTTACATTTCATTCGTGGTAGTCGGCATAGCACGGTGAGTTGCAGTGTCACGATTTTACGAGAATGAGTAAGGCACATAGACAGTAGAGCATTTGCGAGCCTCTGCGAAGCAGAGGTGACGCACTGGTATGTTATAAGGGGAAAAATTAAAAACTATTAGTTAGCTGATACTTGGCATGTTGGAGCCTGGTTACGAAAATAATAACGAAACCGCAGGGGCTTGTACATGGTTTGCAGTATGGTCTCTCACCACCGATCAGGGCGTTGATCCAACAAATGGCTGTAATATTCGTGTTCGACAGATCAAATAATCCCATGTGAAGTCTCGGCTAATTTTGAGATTTCGACACCTTAGACAGTGATGGTTGTCCAGCAGCCTTGCGAGCGACTCGTTCAACTATGTGAGGGCGCCAGGTCCCGATTTGCATTTGAATCCTCTCCTACTTTATCAAACAAATGGTGCACTTTTGTAGCACACGTTACATTCTACATATTGCCAGGGTTTGAGTGCTCCACATTCAGAGAGGGTAAAGTCTTGAGAAATTGCAAACCTTAGTTTCCACCAACACTCGTTGATCCACGGCACCGCTTTTGCTGATACTGTGATTATGGTGACCATGATAAGCCCTGCATACAGTTGCTTTGTGGACACTTATAATCTTGCCTGAACACATAGACTTTGGTCATACTTTACTCATGTTAACCTTGTTACCGGTGTTAGTAGGTTACTCGTGTTGCTAGTGTTACTCGAGTTACTCGCCAGTCAGTGATATTGCGTTGTGAAACGAAACTGTACTTGATTGTTTCACTATTCAACAGCAATAAAAGCGGTAACACTAGTAATACCAGTAAGACGAGTAATACGGGTAACACCAGTAACACAAGTAACACGAGCAACATGAGTAACACTGGTAACACCGGTAACACGGGTAACACAGGCAAAGTATGGTCAAAGCGCGCGCGCATTTGTAGCGCTTCGCTTTTAGCGTTCATAGAATAAAAGTTGGTAAAAATGCTTACTTGGCAAAGTGCTTAGAACGCTTACAAAGAAGTGTTCGAAAGCTGGAGTGGCCATTCCGACCAAGTTACATACAGCTGGATGCAGCGTCGAATCCTAACTCAAATCTTTCTTGATATCTAGCTGTGAACGACATCGTAGACAAAATTATGAGCAGTTTTACTGCTAGGAAATCGTATATACAAATTGCGAATACAAATACATTATTGCCACTCTTGCTGACCTTCAGTAACTATTTTGACATAGCCGTATGTTTTGGCTTGCTAACCCAAGCGTGGCTTCGTATGGTCAACTTAGCAATACACACACAGAATTTCTTTGCAGCTCGATGGTCTCTTATATTGTCCACAAAAGAGGAAGACAGATTCAAGACAGCGTTTAATGCATGCAGTGGTATGCAACATGCTTAAAGGCAGCGTTCAGGCAGATCTGCACCTATGGGGATTTTACGTGGAAAGTACTTTTAGGACCCTAACTAAGGCACTGCTCAAGCGGCAGCGCAGGTGGTGCTCTAACGACTGAGCTATGTATTCTCCTCGAAACTGGACATCAGGATCGTATTCGCATGGATATGGCACTTTCACGCCGGAATCCACGCTTTGCGCCATGAATCCATGCGTACTACGATCGCGGAGTCCAGTTCCGAGGGGAATATCTCAGCCATTGGAGCACTACCTGAGCTGCAGGTTGGACAGTGGCTTAGTTAGTGCCCCAAAAAATACTTGCCTGGACGCTGCTTTTATTATGGCCACTTCGACTTCTGACCATTCTTTTGTTAGATTCTACATTACCCTATTTCTCGGAGTAAGAGGCTCACTTACTATAAGAAGCACTTGTCGCGCGATGGAGCAATAGGTGCGCTCTAATTTGGATGTGCTCATACATTATTGGTCTAGTTTATACTTACTTAGATACTTAGATGGCCCGTTTTCACGTGGCGTGC